AAAGATTAGCAACTTTTTTGTTTTTTGTTAATGCATAAATTTTCCAGTTTCATCTCTAGGTCTTTCTAAAATATGAATTTCCATTCCCTGAGGAAAACCATTAATAAATCGAATATGTACAGGGTGGGTCAAATTCGACGCTTTTAAATGGAAACACCCTTTTCTATAGGAGATCCAAAAATATAATACAATATTACAATATTACAATAAATATAACACACTTGATATTTTGTTCGATTCCTCTTCGAGATATAGAGTACATATATAAAAATAATTAAATAAGTAGGCTTTGAACGGCACCGGCTGTAAAGCAAAAAAATTCTAGCTGTGAGCATCAATTAAAACGAAAATAATATTTGCTATGAGAGATGCAGAATTTTATAACAATTTAAAATATATTTAACCAACATCAACACATTTAAACTATATCTAATAACAATAAAAATAAATAGCAAACCAGGACATGAGATTTTACTATAGATGTTCGACCAATGTGTTCGACATATCGACCATCTTCTGTTATGGACAGACGGGGCAGTTTTTGAACATTTCTCGCGGAATTCATTAACTCAGTAGGGGTGAAAGATATCCCCTCATAACTGCTAAGTATTTATAATTCTTGTCTAGATTATACGGAAGAATAAGAAACCTTTATTCTTCCGCAAATATATCCATAGGATTAGATCCATGGGCACTAAGTCAGGCGGCATCGACGGCCAACGGCTGGGATCTTGGTTAGCTATTATTCAATTATTCTTGAAATTGTCTGCAAAAATTTGCTGATAACTTCAGCGTTCAAAGGCGGTTCGTCGTCTTGCTGGAAAAATAATTATGTTTTCGAGTTCCATTAAGGGCATATCATCAATAAGGGATCCAAAGCCTACTAGTTAAAAGTGGCGAACTTTTAAAAATTCTGTATTTTGAAGGGGATTATAACAAAATATCAAGTGTGCTATCTTTTTGGAAATGTAATTTTAAATAATTTTCAGTTAATTAAAAATATAGAGGGTGTCCCAAATAAAAAATCAATTTTCCTGTTGATAACTCTTAAATTATTAATTTTAAAAAAATTATACTTGACCCATTAAATTCTACGTAAAAATGTGCTTTGGGAATGTTTTCATAGAAATACAAAATTTTCCATAGTAAAAAAGTTACAGCGATTTGTTAAAAATGCACATTTACCCCCGTAACTCCGAAACACCCCGTAACTCCGAAACGGTAACAGATATTGGTGTGCGGTTTTCACCATCATGTTTTTGATGAAAATTGAGCTCCAGACAGCCATATTAGTTTTCGTCTATCTCCTATAGAAAAGGGTGTTTCCATTTAAAAGCGTCGAATTTGACCCACCCTGTACAGGCCGTCCCAAATTCGAGCCTCATTATTGAAATGTCGGAAACTTGGGCAGTTTGATGCTGATCAAGATTTTATTAAAATTTTAACTCCGAATATTTTCCTATCTCTTCTAATTTTTATTTAAAAAAAATCTTCAAACTATTAGGAATATTTTACAGTAAAAACCTATTATTTTCATTAGTTCAGGGTGTTTTAAAAAACATGTGCCATCTCTCGAAGTGAAACTCATAATATAAAAATAAGATTAATTTTTTATATCAACAAACATCCGATTCTAATTTGTTATGTAGCTACAGGGGTTTAAAAACTTCTTTTTCTTATTTTTTACTATAATTTTCTTCCAGTTACTTTTAGCTACTCGAATGAAATTTTGAGAGTAAAGGTTAAAAAATAATAATGTTAAAAAGGGACCAGGGACGTGCATATGGTTATTACTGGAATATTTTTCTAAAAAAAACATGTGTGCCACTGACTTTTTTTCTCTTGTTAGCAAAATTGTGTAGACAGTTTTATACCAATTAAAAGTTGTCTCTTGATATTTTGTCGATTTTGGTCTCCTTGATGAGATTGAAACGCAATTTTATTAATTTGTCTTAAGCCAATATAAGTCGAATAGCAACTTTTAAAAAATGTTAATGTCATTAACTGGCCAAAATATTAAATAAGTACTCATTGATTTCTCATCAAAAAATATGCAAAAAAATCCTATAAACATGGATGTGGAAACTGCATAGTTTTAAAGTTACAGGATGTTAAAACTTTTAAAAAATAGGTCTCTTTAATTATCTTAAATACCATTATTTTTTTTAATTTGCTGTAGGTAGCACTGAACATCAGCATTATAAATTTTAATAAAATTTCATAATAAATTATATTAAACGAATAATTTATTAATTTAATTAATTGTGAATAATAAAGCCCCTATAGCTACGAAACAAAGCAAAACCGAACCTTGATAAAAAAATCTTATTTTATCTAAGGAATCTCCTCAGAAAAGAAGGCACATGTTGTTTGAAACATCCTGTATAAATATAAAGTTTAAAATATTCTTATAGGAGTGTAAGTTAAACATAAATAATTCCATACATTCTACGGAAGAGAATAATTATAAGATAAGCAACATATTATGTGGTTTTGTAGGAAGACATGCAGAAAAAGGTTTTAATGTGTTGACAACAGGAAACCAACCCTGCGCTTTCAGATAGCATTAAAGACAAAACAATGTAAAAGGCTAACGATTATGCTTAACTGTGCCATTGATGATAATAGTTCATTAACATTATTTGTAATTTCCATTGTTTCATACATATCTCCTAAAATACCCATGTTTCTTAATAAGTCCAGGTATATTGGATGGACGTGTGTTATTGACATTATCATATCATTAGGTATAGTGTGTAGTTTATATACAGGGTGGTCCGATAAACAGCTTGTATAGAAAAGTTATGTGTTAAATACCTTGATTTTTAAATTATTATCTAAACTATTTTGTTTAGAGCTTAATATTTTCATTAAAAAAGTTTTTTTCTTCGATCGTGCAAAAAGTAGCTATGTTTTACACTACTAGCTGTATTAAAAGTAATTTTTTACACTAGTGCAAAAAAACCTTGACATTATTAATGACGAGTTGAATTAAAAGGGAAAAAATATGTAAATTTTTGTAAAAATTTGTCAAATTCTAGAAGGTAAACCAAGTACTAGTACTGGACACCTCGCAGCAACGTTCTGGAAAAGAGTTTTAAATGGAGAAACCGAGACCTCCACGAGCAGAAATGAGAATAAAATTAAAAAGACTACTGGAAATGAAGTTTGTCCCTCAATTACCTGAGTGAATTGTTCAAACTGCAACATTAAAATTAAAATCAACTCAAAAAAAGTTATTAAAAAAAAATAAAAATAATATTTGTTTATAGTTTCATAGTTAGTGGTAATGTTATACGCAGTGAATTACGGTAAAACCTTTTTAATATAATAATAAAAAGAATTTCAATTCAATCGTAGAAAAAATGTTGTTTGCGACATGTGCAAAAGCATATTTGTTGCACTCAGCATGATTGCAGCTCTCGACGTCGCACGGTGGGGTATTAGCATGAAAAAGGTGATCGAAATTCGAAAAAGCAAATGTGTTTAAGATTTCCCAAAAAATATAAATGATAAGTTAAATCATGTCTGCCATGAATGGCGTTGCTATGGGTGTGTTTAGTTGCATTCATTGTTTCAACGAAACTTCAAAGTTGTTACTTCTCACAGATAAGAGGTAAATGGCTAAATTTTATGTTTAAAATTATAAATTGTTGTTGTTCTTGTGCTCTTTTTACGTTTATATTATTGTTTTGATTGAAAATGGCTCAGCAAGCTAGTATTATTTATTTTGATATTCTCTATGCTAACGATTTTTTTTGCAACTAAAAGATAGGCGTTCAGAAAATTTGATTAAATTTGTGACATTTTTATTATTACTTAGAGCTTTAGTTGCGCATTTCGAAGAATTCAGCATATTGTCTATATACGTTTTACTTAGTAAACATTGGGCTTTCATACAGTAAAACAAAATACTGCGACTTTTTGCGACTTTGCTGATAAAATGAGAAAAACATTCTTGGTTTCCTCTAATTTGCCAATCAGTGATATACTAATGCGAGGTGTAAACCGCGATGGCATTGTTGTGTACAAAGCGATCGCATTAGTGCCATTAGCAGTATAGCACAATTTGGCATTAGTAGCGACTTTAGTGGTATGGGCATTGCTCGCGGATCAGTCGTAGCATTAGTAGTAGGGGAGATCGGGGCAAGTTGGCGAAGTAAAATACAAAAGGCTCCAAAACACGAACTAACGGGTTTAAAAAAAAGGATCCCATTTCATCTGTTAGTACATTTATTCAGGTACATAATAAAATATAAAAAACAAAATAAAAGTGTACTCTTGAAAAAATATAAAGAAAAAAACAAAAAAATGCATTTTCGTCAACTTGCCCCAGTACCGGGGTAAGATGACGAGCCTATAGGGGCAAGATGACGATTATAAAGAAATGTCGCAGGTATATGTGCCATCTTTTTCGTAGACTGTGCACGACTCGTGCCACCAACTCTCGCACGTGTTACAGTGAATCCAGTCTTCTGTAGGAGGCTCAATATAGGATTCCTGGCAGCCAGGACAAAAAATGTCATTAGTTTTCTTCTTCTTTCCTACCTGCTTTTCACGATTTTCTTGAAATACCTTTCTCTTGACTTTCACAGAATCAGCCTTCCTTCTTTTAATTTCTTTTAAGTTTTTTCACTGTTTTTCCTTTCCTGTTGGGTGTTGAGATGATGAGAGAAGCCCTTTGTTTAATTCTTTTGGTAGTTTTTATGGGACGTGTATATTTGGGAAAGGGTCTCATTTCAAGTAGTGTAACTCGACTATCAACATTAGAGATTGTTTGACTGGAGCTGGATGAACTTATAGTACCAAGAGCTTGTGCTTCATTGTTTTTTGGAGGATTTTTTCGCTGTAGGCCTGAAGGTCCAAGAAGAGACAAATTCATTGACCTTGCCTGCTGATTTTTTTTGGAAAGCAATGGGGGTTCAGCGTCTGGTGTTTCATAGTTTTTATTCTTTGCAGAATCCATTTTATTCAATCCTGAGGGTCCTGGGAGAATTAAATTAACAAGCTTTTCTGGCGAAAACCGCTGGTGGTTTACCATCTTGTATTTCATTGTTTTTCGTTTTGGCTAGATCAATTCTGTTTGAGCCTGAAGACCCAGGAACTGCTAGTGGTTCATCGTCACTGCTTAAGAACTCGTCTTCCGCAGTTAGGTGCCTCTCACTCACCATAGAAGGGGCAAAATCGGCATCTCCAAAGATTTCAGCATAACAAGACTCAATGCTGCAAGCGGGAAAACTTTTTATGTCTGTTCCCACAGTTGCAGCCCTTAGATAAGCTTGCCCGAACAACTGACCAACTTCTTTATCAAATAGTTTTCACAAGTCCGGTTGTAGAAAGTTTTGAGAGCTCCAAAAATAAACAACGTCCAACGGTTGTAGGCAGTGGGTACTCCATTATCCCTACAATAATTGATAGCTTCCAGTGAAGTGTGAGACGAGTGATTGTCAACGATCAACAATACGGGTATCTCTTTGTTTGGGTGAACAAATTTCACAAAATGTTTAAGGCATAGGACAAAGGCTTCTGTATTCATCCATCTACTGGGTTGAGCTATACGACCAGAGTTTGGAGGACATCCATTTAAAAGATCTGGTCGCATCCTAACTCCTCCAAAAATAAAAAGGGTGGAACGTAGCTCCGTTGACGAATTCATCATCTTGCCTCCGTCAACTTGCCCCAGGAAACATTTTTTAAGAAACAGCAAAAATTAAAATATTAATTAAGTGAAATTAGGTTGTATCTTACCGTGTAATATTTAAAATGTTCACAATAATCAAGATTAACTATGAAAGGGGCTTCTATTTTTCTTTAAACCTGCGAAATTGCTTATTTTCTGGAGCTGGATGTTTACATCTAACAGGTGTGAAAAGCGGTTATGTTTTTTTAAACCCGCTGAAAAAGTGATAGCTCCATCTATGTGTAACCCGACGTATTATACACCTAAAGGAATTTATAGAAAAATAAATGGGATTTTTAGGATGTACAGTTTTCTTTAAATCAGTACGTCGTCATCTTGCCCCGTTCGTCATCATGCCCCGACCTCCCCTATTAGTTGCGATATTACTACTGGCATTAGTGGTATTGACCGTGGAAACACTGGAACAGTGATTTCTCTTTCTTTTTTTTTAGAATCGACGAATTATCCTTTATTTTGTTCATATTATTTCCTCTTTAATTGAAAGTAGCAATAATTTATATAAGGTCTACATAAAAAAATTTCGATCAACTATCTGTGTCAAATACCCCACTGTGCGTGGCTTCGTCTCGAGCTGCAAAACTCATGCGTAGTGCAACAAATAATATGTCCTTTTTGCACTAGTTACACAAATAACTATTGTTGAAGGTTTTTACTCGATCTCATTTTGTACAAGAAGTGTCAAAACAAAATACCGAAATATTGATGCCTAGTGTTAGTATATTTTGTGACTGTATCAGTTTTTTTTTATTTATTTGTTTTGTACCTCAACATCCAACACCTTTGTAACAAGAATAAGTATTTCTATAATTTTATATTTTATATACAGGGTGGTCTAAAATGTATCACCACAAAAAAGGCACCACCTACATATTGTTTAATTGGTTTATAAAAAATAAAGTGTAATAATTTTTCGTTCGTACCTGTAGAGAAATACTAATTAGAAAAATAATAAAAATATACATTTCCGTCATTTTTTGACGTAAAAAAAGTATCTAAAATAGCAGGTTAGTCGTGACTAACTAAAAAAACTCAAAATTTAAGTGAGGATGCAGTCAATAATCACCACATAGGCTAATAAAACTACTTTTTCAAATTTGTTAAGCTTTCGAGAATTTTATTCCCTTGTTTTATTCCCATCATCAGGACAGTTTGACTGAGTCAATTAGCAAAAAACATCCTCTGCACAAAAAGGCCTTAAACTAGCATAATATGACGTTGTATTCCAATGTCCTGATGGTGGGAATAAAATTCTCGAAAGCTTGACAAATTTGAAAAAGTAGTTTTATTAGCCTATGTGGTGATTATTGACTGCATTCTCACTTAAATTTTGAGTTTTTTTCTTAAAAAAAGTATCTTTATAAAAATCGCTACGCGTAACAGTTCTCCAGATATTTAGAATCAAAATAATCAATATACATGTCATCACTGGCAAGAATTCAACATGTTGACGTTGAAGATAACGTATGACAAAAAAAACCGCGTCCAGTTGGCTTGAAAGTGAATATCGATAACATACCTCATGTAATTTTTCATATAAAATGACACCGATCTTCATTTCACAGCTATCGCCTGGCTATCGAATTTTTTTTTTGAATCAAGAATATTTTGCTGAAAAATGATCATAGAAAACTAAAACTGGTTTTCGAGTTTAATTCTTGAAAAAACATGTAGTCATGTCATACAAAAAAAATAAAAAAATATATAATAATATATTAAAATAAGTGTGACCCAAAAATTACCGGGTGAATTTTCAACCTAAAAAACGCCGAGGAAGTACAAAAAGAAGGTAAACCTGTTTTAGTTATCTTTGTAAGTACCTTTCAATAACGGGTTCCAAAAGTCTACAACCGAATATTTTGAATATACCCCAGATACCATAAACAGCAGTAAAAATAATTGATACAAAAATATGGAATAACACAGAAGATTTTCTATCAGTTTATTTTCTTTTATTTAATATTCAATAAAATTAAAAGGCTAATAATTTTATTACATAAATATTCAGTATTACCAACAAGTTTTATGATCAAAGGGACGCTTTTTGTTTAAAGAAATAAACTTAAGTAATTATTCTTATGCGAAAATACATTTAATTTTTTTAAACTGACAAATTTAAACCTTCACTTCATCACTAAACTATTAGATCATACGGTATACGGTACTCTCTTCCTAAATAAAAGAACATAAAAATCAAGATAATTAAATACCTTAAAATAGTGCCGGCCTTAAACTTTTTTCTTCCCTTTAGTTTGACAGTCAATTAAAATAACCAAAAATATCTTCTCCTCCTAAAAAATCACTTCATTCACTAACATAAAAGTCTGAAAACCAAAAAAACATCTAAATAAAAATCCACGACGGTTTATTCACGCTACGAAAAACCATGTGCTTTTTGTTTACTCGATACGACGCGCAAATCACAACTCTCAGCCTACTAGACCAGCAGGAGCGAAACGCGCCTCTCCTCTATGCGATAGCGACTGCAGCAGGGAGTCAGCAGGACTGAAGCCGACTTACCGAGCTTGCTCGTCTTTGCTGCGGTCTACACACTTGTCTTGAGTTGGCCTGGCTGCTATTTTCCAAACGGAAATGAAGAATTTGCCGATGGCATCGGACAACAATTGAACATCGACAGTATCGAAGGTTAAAGAAGAGATTTTTCCATGTCGACGTTGATGTATTTTTCTTCAAGCAAACTTGAAACCTCTTGAGGGCAGTTCGGGGTAAGGGCATCGCGTCAACTTTCGTTTAACTGAAATCAGTTATTAGAAAAAAAATTGTCTTTAAAAAGCTACTGTGAACCACGAAGAACACAAATTTTTTTGCGGAAATGCCTAATTTCCAAATTTCACACTTTAGAATAACTGAAATCTGCTATAAAAAAATACATTTTGCGTTTTATTTTTAATATTTTTCTGAACAATATAAACACAAAAATTTTCCTGCGGAAATAAGCTGTTTTCATTTTCTAAGGAAATTTATTAGACTTTAGAATAGCTGAAATCATCAGTTATATAAAAAATCAATATATTTTTGCCTTTTAGAAGCATTCACGAATTGAGGAAAATAAAAATTTTCCTGCGGAAATAAACTGTATCCATTTTCTGAGAAAATTTAATAGACTTTAGAATAGCTGAAATCAATTATATAAAAAATAAATATATTTTTTGCCTTTTAGAAGCGTTTACAAACTCAGGAAAATTAAAAATTTCCTGCGGAAATGCTTGATTTTCATTTTCCATTTGTTCCTTATTATATTATTGGGTCTTGTAAAGTATAAGTACCCACGAATTTAGCAAAAAAAATTTGAAGAAAGTCCTATACCGGGTGCGTCTCAAAAGTGGCTCACCCCTATAACTTTTTATTTTTTCAGATAAAACAACGAGATTTGGTATGTTAGAATATAACATAAATTGGGATTGATTGACGTAATCAATTGTTTTCGGTCACTTCCGGATTCACCGGAAATGACTACAACTTTTGATTTTTAAATGGCACCCTCGGTATTTTTTTACTTTATTCGATACACTCTGAATCGAATGACACATCATATGTCAATTTTTGACATAGTCATTCAAAAACAAATCCCATTTTAAATTTCAATCTAGAGTGCCATGGCTGTGTTAAAAACACTAATTTTTAATCAAGGAGCCTTGGAAAAATAGATTTGATCGTCCAATGTTTTTAGTGTCTTGTCCTGGCCGGTTAAAAGATGCCCAAACCGTATTTTTAATCATATCTCATTTTTTTCAAATGGAACGAGGGTGGCTCATTGGCATATTTGGAAAAAGCATTTTTTTACGAATAATTTGATACCACACACTTGGTATTTTGAGTCAAATTGTCGTTATGAACCGTATGTTACAATTTGAAATAAACCATATGCCCAAATATCAAAAGTTGACATATGATATGTCATTCGATTCAGAGTGTAATTTTCTATCGAATAAAGTAAAAGAATACCGAGGGTGCCATTTAAAAATCAAAAGTTGCAGTCATTTTCAGTGAAACCGGAAGTGACTGAGAACAATTGAATACGTCAACCAATCTCAATTTGTGTCATATACTAACATACCAAATATCGTTGTTTTATCTGAAGTAACAAAAAGTTATAGGGGTGAGCCACTTTTGAGACGCACCCGGTATAGAACAGTTTAAAAGAAAAAAATCCTTGGATGAAGCACTTTTGAACCAAAAAAAAACCAATCTAATAATAAATCTAATAATATTTTTACAAAATCACAGTTAATTATTAAAATATAGAAACCACAGCTTAACACCCTCCACAAAGAAAAGCTAACCAGAGCAACCCAAATCCTAACCAATCTAAGAATATTTTTGCAAAATCACAGTTAATTATTAGAATATAAAAACCACAGCTTAACACCCTCCATAAAGAAAAGCTAACCAAAGCAACCCAAATGCTAACCAATCTAATGTTTTTGCAAAATCGCAGTTAATTATTAAAATATAAAAGAAAACTGCATGATCCAATGATTTTTTGTTTTGAATCAGCCCTATTTACGTAAAGCTTTAATAAAAAACAAGAATAAGTGCAACATTCTGAGGTACTTATAGTTTACAAGAAATAATATATTATCTATTCTATAAGAATTGTTATTCCTCCGAAAGATGTTTTACCCAACCCAGCACCCCTATTCGCTCCCGGGTCCCGTAAAAGCTTCTAAACTGAAAAATGTATGAAAAACAAAGTGCACAAAATGACATTGACACATTTCCGCAGGAGTTTTTTTTGTATTTCTTTGCTCGCAAAGGCTCGTAATATATAAGTTCATTTTTCATGTAACTGATTTCGGCTATTCTAAAGTCAAAGCATTTTTTATGTAAAATAAAAATAAATAATTTCCGCACACACTTTTTTGTGTTTTTATGTTTAGAAAAATGTCTAAAACACACCCCGAAGACTAGTTTTGATGTAACAGATTTCGGTTATACTAAAGTCCGAAAAATGAAAATGACGCATTTCCGCAGGAAAATTTTTGTTTATTTGTACTCCTAACGCCTTCTAGTTTACAATTCTTCTCTATTGCATTCTATTGTGCGCTGCTTCCTCCCACTGATTTTGCATGCTTATCCCCTTTAAGTTTTCATGGAAAATATCCTTGTATCTTTTGAGTTGTCCACCCGGTTTCCTCTTACCGTCTAAAAGCTCTCCGTAAAGAAGAGATTTCGGTAGGCGGTTTTCTTGCATCCTGCATACGTGGATGCAAGGAAATGCCTTTACTTTTTAATTAAAAGTATTACTAATATAAATGTAGAAATTCTAGTTAATATTTATGAATCGAAAGTGTTAATTACTAATATTAATTTACTGGTAACTGGTAGAGTAGATAATAAAAAAAAATGAATTTGCAAGTGATACGCTATCATCTTTAGTGGCGCACTGCCATGGATGGCTAAAAATCTAAATTAAATAATTAAGACATATTAACCGCGTTTGCTTTCACTTATTATTTTATTTATTTTTATGCTTAAACAAATGAACTAATTTAATTATATTCTTTAATCATTTCTTAAAACTATACAGCATGACTCAGTGTGATATCTATTTGATGATATCTTCACGCGGTCACCCTGTATATTTGTAATTTCTCTAAAATAAAGAAAACATCTGCAATGATATTATTGATCTTATGATTATAGATTTTAAAAGCGTATATAAGGATATACACCAAGAAATGTAAAAAGTTACTGGTATTATATTAGATTTAAAAGTAGATAATTTTCTAAATTTTTATCTCCTAGTCCATAGGCAACTAAAAATACACCGTAACAGAACACACCACGTTGCAGGAATTTCATATAAGCAGGAAGGAGTGAGGTGTGAATTGTTTACAGAGGTGTTAAATGTTAAATCTGAGATTGTTTTATTTTATTAAACTTTCACTTCGAATGAAAATGTAGAAAAACACTTATTCCTATATCTAGGGTTTAATTTTAATGTACGTTTTGGTTTTTCAAAGTTAAGTTTGATTTCAAGTACACCTATTTCGGACAATTATTGGAAATCATGACGTCCTTTGAGTAAGTCTGCCTTGAATTGTTTTTCCATATGACTGATAAAACAATATATTGTTCAAAATGATAATAAATAATTAACGTAAATACCAGACGTCAATAATGTATTAAATATGTGATAACCTCTATAACCTGCTGTAAATGACTGTAAATGATTAGCTAATCAAATTTGCCTCCCGCAGAGAATTATCAAAAATTTAATGTTCAAAATATAGTGTGACCTTATTTCAAAATTCCCAAAATAAATTGTCTGGAATAGAGCCGTAGTAAATTTGAATTCACCTTATTTCAGATGAGGTGAATGGATGGATAAAAAAATTACCTTTTTGAATTTGATGACGTTTTAGGAAAAATTAATATGATTATTTTTAAACATGCTATGAAAATTCCCTCAGCATTATATCAAATGAAAAGGAACCTATCTAGGTATAGCATAATAAATTAGAATTTACTGCTTCAATATCTAGTCGCATGTCCTCATTGTTTTTCTTTATAAATACAGTTAGCAACAATAGTAAATATCTTCTGAATAATATGTTGTTAATGATAAGTATGTCTGATGCAAATGTGTTGTAATAAATAATGTAGATTTCAAAATTTCTTATTTTTATCGTTCTATTCTTGTATAAAATAACGGAACTCATAGAGAAACCACAGTGTTACTTTGCCTTTAATATATCTACAGTCATTTTGAAGCTATTCGCACAAAATGCCCGAAGTTTTGTCACAAACTAAGAAGTTCCGATTAATGTATATTTATTTCTACTTCTTGTTTTCTTAGATAATTATAATTATTTTCTATTTCAGTAAAGGAAGCAAGTTAATTGATGGTAAAAAGATATCGCAAGAGATTCAAAAAGAAATTCGGGTTGAAATCGATGCTTGGATGAATAAAGGACATAGAAGGCCATGTCTCATAGCCATCCTGGTTGGAGAAAATCCTGCTAGCCAGAAATATGTTCACAATAAGATGAAAGCTGCAAAAGATATCGGTAATTTAATATTACATTTATACTTATTACTTATCATTTAAAAATATCAATTTGATTTTAGGAATCACATCAAAAACAATCAAGCTGCCAAACACTACAACCGAATCGGAAATAATCGAAGAAATCAAAAGACTGAATGAGGATTCTTCAGTTGATGGTATTCTGGTTCAACTTCCGGTCCCGGAACATGTTTCAGAAAGGAATGTTTGTAATGCTGTTGACCCTCACAAAGATGTAGATGGATTTCATATTACTAATATGGGCAGACTGGCAATAAATCTTGATACATTCGTACCAGCTACAGCTCTTGGAGTTATTGAACTAATCAAAAGGTAGGTAGGTAGAATTAAAACGCATTTCTTAGAAGACCTCGGATTGTGCTTCTTGTCTTTGTATGCATCTACAAGAGATTTAATAAAAAAACACTATTGCGCGCAGTATATAAATAATTACTATAAAACTGTTTATTAGTGGTAGTTAGAGTCGCTATTTATGCAACTAACAATACACAGTCCTAGCGACTAAATTATTCTACATTCTACATAAATGTTTTATTTTGCATGTATTTATACAGGGTGTTTCAAAACAAATGCGAAAAAGTTCAGGGGGTGATTCCTTGTTCAAAATAAAGGGTAGTTTGCTTCATAAACGTTGGGTCAAAAGTCAACCATTAGGGAGATATCGCGGTACAAAGATGGCGGAAAAATAATGTTTTTATTTTTTATCTTGAAAACGAAAAGAGATAGACTAATAAAATTTTATGGAAGCATTACTTTTATGGAAACACATTCTTTTGGTAATTTTTTTCACTTTTAAATGAGGAAGGGGTTGAATAAATCATCATTTTAGTTAACGAATTTAAAGAAAATCTTATCAACATTACGTAAAATATTCTGGATAGTTTATTTTGTTTAGAACTTTTTATCTCTTGTATTTTTGATAAAACTCACCGATTTGAAATTAAAAAATAAAATGTAAAGCATTACATGTCAGGACAAAAAACATTTTCTGATAAAGAATCTAGTGGGCTGCTGTAATTTTTTTAGGAAAAAATCTAATCGGTCGCTGGTACTTTTTATGATGTTCCTAATATTATTTTATTTGACATTACTCTACTGCAATACGTTATTATCTAGATGATTATTATTATCGTTATTATCACTAGATTCTTAATCTAAAAATGTTTTTGTCCTGACATGTAATGCTTTAGATTTTATTTTTTAATTTCCAATCGGTGAGTTTTATCAAAAAAACACAAGAGGTAAAAAAGTTTCTAAACAACTAAACTATCCAAATTAATTTTTTTGTAAGTGCTTCGATAAGATTTTTCTTTTAAATTTCTGCTACTAACAAGAATGATAGGGGTAGTTTATTTCTAACCCCTTCCACTCATTTTAAAAAGGAAAAATTACCAGAAAGTGTGTTTTCATAACAGTAATGCTTCCATAAAATTCTTCATTAGTCTATCTCTTTTCGTTTTCAAGATAAAAAATAAAAACATTATTTTTCCGCCATATTTGTACCGCGATATCTCCCTAATGGTTGACTTTTGACCCAACGTTTATAAAGCAAACTACCCTTTATTTTGAACAAGGAATCACCCCCTAAAGTTTTTCGCATTTGTTTTGAAACACCCTGTATATAAAAATCATCAAAAATATACCTTTATTAAACTTCTAGACAAAAATGTGTTAAACAATTTACATGGTCAAACAGAAGCACTATAAGATAGATACGGCGTCAGAGTTGGCTTGGGAATGAAAATCACTGTCATTTCTAAACAAAATTTGCGGCGTTGTTTCGAAAATACTATATGTAGATACATTTACTTTGAATTTGAAATAATTACCTCCCTTTATCAAATTAAAAAATCGAATAAAAATCAGATACTAATAAATACGAAATAACTTCTTTTGGAAAAAATTATATCTGATGTTCTCAGGCTCTAATAAGCTGTCAAAATAGACCCACAGATAAAAGATAAATGGCGCCAAATTTAAACCCCTATTCTGGTACTCGGATTCGGATCTGCATTTTCGAATGTTTATAAATTTATATTTGTCGAATTGATCACTAGTCCGCAATTGTTCAGATATCTTTGACAGTATTCTCAGTATCTTTAGTAACAAAATTTCCATTTTGTGTTATGTGATAGCTTGTAACTTATTTTAACCTCTATGCTTGTAGCTATAGTTCATATCAACTAAACTTTTAGTCACATGATTAAGCTTGATTGACACAGCGTTGCCCACTTTACATATTTTCGGGAACAGAAATAAATTAATTATAAATATATAAATAGTTATTATTTACATCAGCAAAACTCACCTTCTTAACAGCATTTAAGCGAGATAAAAGGCCATTACTATCGCTTTCCCGTTCAAAATATTCTAATAAAGTTGCGATGAGCTTTTTACGGCTATTAAGCTATCTTGTTAACTTTGCACAAAAAGAGGTTCTCAAAAGAATAATGTTCGACTGCAAGGTCTGTTAATAAACATTTTTAAGCTTAAAGTATCACAACACTATTTATTTAAACCAAAAACTCGTAATACAAAACTAAAGTGTCAAAACGAATGACAATGTCAGGAAATAAATAAATAACTATGGCAACTTGACATTTTCTACAGCAGAGCTACCACCTGAGTCCCCAGCGAGAAATTTAAATTCGAGTTTGTTAGCTCGGCGCCGAATATATCCATGGTTGGCAACAATGAATTTAAAAATCGCGCCCTCGATTACGTAACTGAAAGTTTAATTGGTATTGAATATAGATAATCATTTTGCAGGTCCCAAGTACCAACATTAGGCAAGAACGTCGTGGTCTGCGGCCGTTCCAAAAATGTCGGTCTTCCAATAGCATTACTGTTGCACTCAGACGCCAGAAACGAATGTCCAGGTCACGAAGCTACTGTAACCATATGTCACCGACACACCCCGCCAGAAGAACTGTCATGTTTCACCAAGAGGGCCGATATAATTATCACCGCGACTGGAATAGTAAACCTCATTAAGGCTGATATGGTCAAACCAGGGGCTTGTATAATCGACGTTGGTATCAATAGAATCATGACTGAGGAGGGTAAACCGAAAATAGTAGGGGACGTCGACTTTGAAGGTAATTGAGCAATATAGAGATGAAAAAATCCGACTATTTTTTTCTTAATTTATACTCTGAGAAAAAGGTTGGGAGACACCTCAAAAAAATTATCTCCAAGTATGAGCTCTTTCAGTTTTCTATTTTTTTCTTATTATTAGAAAGAAAAAATTATATCTCGGTATCTACTATTTGGAAAAAATATCTCGTCTTATATGTTTGTAGGAAATTGAATTTTCTACAAAAAAGGTCTCTTACAATTTTTTGTAAACCTCACCGTTCGAAAGTTATGAAAGGTTGAAATTTGGTTATTTTAAAGCTGTTTTCTTTTTTCTTATGAATTTTATAACTCGTTAACAAAAAATCATGATACGCGCAAAACATGGTTTTTAGGAAATTCACTGCTCTACAAAAACGGTTTCTTATGATTAGTCGATTAAATTAACCGTTTAAAAGATACTCATCGTCAAACTTCAATGCGCAATAATTTTAACAGTTTTTGATTGATTAATAATTCGAATAATTCCAATCCAATCTCTGTTGAAAATAAGGTTCAACTTTCGTTTACCTGGAATATGTTATATAAAAAATGACTTCATATATGCGTTCTAGAAGGCGTTAGGAGTACAAATATACAAAAAAATTTCCTGCGGAAATGCGTCATTTTCATTTTTCGGACTTTAGTATCGCCGAAATCTGTTACATCAAAACTAGTCTTCGGGGTGTGTTTTAGACATTTTTCTAAACATAAAAACACAAAAATGTGTCTGCGAAAATTTTTTATTTTTATTTTACATAAAAAAATGCTTTGACTTTAGAATAGCCGAAATCAGTTACATGAAAAATGAACTTATATTTGTTTTATAGGAGCCTTTACGAATAAAGAAATACAAAAAAATTCCTGCGGAAATGTGTCAATGTCATTTTGTGCACTTTGTTTTTCATCATAGATAAAAGAAAATAATCTTCTATTAAGATAGATATGAAACTTAATAGTAAAATTTTGGGTCAAAGCGCCCCCATGATTATAAACAGTTTATGATCATCTGCTGATGATGCTAACATGGTTAGCGAAACGCGCGTCCAGTGTATTGTACTAGTTTTGGTGTATTGTGGTGATTTAGTGTTTTATTTTGTTGATTAGATTGGTTAGCATTTTAGACACTTTTAAATGATTTTTTTGGTTCAAAAGTGACAAAAAGGTAATTTTTTATGTATTTATGCTTACAAAAGTGGAAAATGAAAATCAAGCATTTTTGCAGGAAATTTTTTATTTTCCTGAGTTTGTAAACGCTTCTAAAAGGCAAAAATATATTTATTTTTTATATAACTGATTTCAGCTATTCTAAAGTCTAATAAATTTCCTTAGAAAATGAAAACAGCTTATTTCCGCAGGAAAATTTTTGTGTTTATATGTTCAGAAAAATATTAAAAATAAAACACAAAATGTATTTTTTTTATAACAGATTTCAGTTATTCTAAAGTGTGAAATTTGGAAATTACGCATTTCCGCAGGAAAATTTGTGTTTTCCGTGGTTCACAGTACCTTTTTAAAGTCAATTTTTTTTTCTAATAACTGATTTCACCTAAACGAAAGTTGTCCCGAAAATAAAAAAAACTTTTTATAAAAAATTGATTTTTTTTCTTCTAGATCAATACTTTTTATGTTAAATTTGTCAAAAAACGCTATTTACTCGAAATTTAATGAATCGTTGTTGATTGTCAATGTACCCAAACATGCTTAGGACTAAAAAAAAACTAGAAAAAAAGAAGTGACTCAAATTTGAGATATGAATTTTTCTTTCTAACAATAAGGAAAACTGAAAAACAGAGGACCTTCCTATTAAAATTAAGAGCTCATACTTGTAGAGAATGTTTTTGAAGTCTTTTTTTTTGAGAACCTTTTTTTTCAGAGTATAAAATGAAAAAAATAGTCGATTTTTTTGACTCACCCTAGTGTTCAATACAAACATATTTTTTTTCTTTAGCTGTATGTGAAGTGGCAGGACATATAACTCCGGTACCAGGCGGTGTTGGACCAATGACTGTAGCCATGTTGATGTTTAACACTTTGAAAGCCGCGAAAAACTTGGTAAAAAATCAACAATAATGCTATAATGTGATTCAGTATTAATAATTTATATTGAAATATATCATTTTCCTTTACATAAAAAGTATTATTCATTTACTGTCAAACACATTTATTTTATTTATAAATATATAGGATTACCATTATAATGGTATATATACAAGAATGTTAAATATTTTACATTATTAAATAATTTTGCACACAGATCTGACTGTTTTATTTACATCAGTATTATAATGAAATAACTGAGGCAGTATCATAGTATTTTACTGCCCCATCATCTGCTGTTGTGGTACCTCTAATACACAAATGCAGTTCTTTTAGTTCAAACGACCCAAAATAGAAATCCCTGTATTTTTGCAAGATATCTGTAGCATCAAATGACCCTTTCCCTTCACTACCTTTCCTAAAACTTGTATTCATTAAAGTCATGTGCAACTTTACTTTTTCGTATTCCTTTTTTGCAATGCCTACACGACAGAAATACGAATTAAGTGCATCAGCTATGTTCTGTAATTTTGTTAAGAGTGTATCATTCGGCATTTTTACTTTGCCATATAAAACATACACATTTGCAGGGTCGTCGTTCATTATTTCAACACCTTGAACAGTAATTTCATTACCCTTTATTTCGTTATATATTCCTGCAATTGATTCATTATAACAAGTTTGTAAGTTCTTTTTGGCTAAATCCAACTCATCTTCGTCAAGTATTTTCAACATTACAATAGTCAGATGAAGCTTAACTGGATTTTGGAAAAGACTTTCCGTTACACCTGCAGGGGGATTTTCCATAATTTCGTTCTTAAATTGAATTAAGTTTTCATTAATAGTGTCGGAAACAATAGGAATTGCTATAAAATGGGTGGGTTGCATTCTCTCTTTTCTTTGTGCAACAATCATAGCAATCTGGGCTCTGGCTGATGCAACTTTCCTCTCTGACTCTCCAGTAATAGTTACCTCACCTTTTTCGTTCATTCGTGGTACTTTTATAATCGTATTTGTATCTCTTTGTAGTGATTTTAATTTTACCCCTTTGGCTCCAATAATATAGGACAGCAGTTTTGAAGGGACATACAATGATGTGAAAAATTTACCATTCTTCGTCAAAGTAATATCATAGGAATCTTCAATATCTTCACAAACCAACATTTCATCATCATTGTCCGTGTAAGGTTTTAAATTAGGCTTTGAACTGTGACCATATTCATCTTTGTCTGGATTTACTCTGGACTGGTAATAAGTCATTTTACCAAACTGTAATGGTGTTACTGTTGTTGGAATCGGACCTTTGTTAGTAAAGAAATCTGGAAAATGTTTTCTACTCATTCTAAAAATAGAAGTATTTATTTATATACAATAACATTATTTTTATTCTATTCCCTGAGCAAAATTAGATTTCTCAAAAAATATTTACATTCTAAATAGAACAAGAAACATGATTAAATATTCCTTTTTTTCCAAAAAATCAGTATAAAGTTTGATAATAAATTTGAATTTTGGCGCTGTTTTGAGTATTATCAGCTATTGACCTCTATTATTTCTGTCTATAAAAACCAACTAAATCACTATAACATATTTTTTTAATTTCAATTTTAGTCAAATACCTTTGTTATGTGGATTTTTTAAAGCCGCAAACGCCAATCGGTCATGCAGATACTAGGCATCAGTAAATCGTGCCTGAAGAAGTTGATTGTATTTGGTGTTAAAACACCTCATAAATTTTATTCCAAAACAATGGCCAAGCCCTCAGTTTATCTTACTCGACGAATAAATCAAGAGGCGTTGGATGTTCTACAACAAACGTACGTATAATCAAATCTATAAGATAATTTTTAAATGAAAAAAAATGTAAAACTAGAAAAATAACCCAATAATTCTGTCAGGTGTGACGTATCGATTTGGCCAGAACCGGACCCAGTCCCTAGACAAGAGCTCCTGAAAAACATTAAAGGAAAATCAGGCTTATTTTGCATGTTAACAGATAGAATTGATTCAGAAATATTAGATGCTGCTGGCAGTAATCTTAAAATTGTCGCAACAATGTCCGTGGGTTACGATCATCTTGATGTAAATGAAATAAAGCGTCGCGGTATAAAAATGGCCTATACACCAGACATTTTAACAGATGCCACAGCGGAATTGGCTGTTGCATTATTGTTAGCTACTAGTCGAAGATTATTGGAAGCTAACGAGGAAGCAAAGTCTGGAGGCTGGAAAGCTTGGTCGCCATTTTGGATGTGCGGTCCTGGTTTGAAGAATTCCACTGTTGGTATAGTTGGATTTGGAAGAATAGGCCAGGAAATTGCTAAGAGATTAAAGTCTTTTGGACCAAGCAAAATTATTTATTATAATAGATCTGAAAAAGCCAAAGAAGCTGCTGATATCGGTGCGATAAGAGTTAGTTTTGATGAGCTCTTGTCTCAGAGTGATTTTATAAGCGTAAGCTGTGCTTTGACGCCGGAAACTAAAGAAATGTTTAATGAACAGGCTTTCAAAAAGATGAAGAAATCTGCTGTGTTTGTTAATACTAGTAGAGGAGGAGTTGTAGATCAAGACGCGTTAGTTACAGCGCTGCAAAATAAAATTATTTGGGGTGCTGGCTTAGATGTAATGACTCCTGAGCCTCTGCCTTTGGATAATCCTTTATTTAAATTGAAGAATTGCGTTATTTTGCCGCACATCGGAAGTGCCGCATTGGAAACAAGGAATAATATGGCTATTTTAACAGCCAAAAATATTGTAGCTGCACTGAAAAACGAACCTGTTCTTACAGAGTTAAATGTTTGATTTACTTTAATTTTTATACCTATATATAAATAAAAAATAATAATTTAGTAATATATAAATAACGGTTTAACAGTATATGGGAAATATAGTATTTGTTAACATGATAATACAGTAGGTTTAGTAAGAAATTAAACCATTATAATTTTAAATAAAATATATAACCAAGGATATAACTTAATATTTAATATTTTCTTCTTGAGTACTGCCCTGTTTTAAATGCGCTCTTGCCAGCTTACTCCCCTAAAATCTCTATGCGCAAAGTCGGTCCTTTAATATATTTTTGTTACCGATCGTTAGCACCTATCAACTCATTAAAATATCCGTTAAATTCAGATTACCCTATATTTATCTAAAATTAAAATTATCTGGTCTGAAATTACTAAAATACAATTTTCTATCCAGAGCATTTGGCAACATTGTGTACTATCCTCAATTTTTGACAATTCAATTCTGCAGGAAATATTTTTATAAGTCCTGCAAGGTCCTGCAGATATAAACAAATAGTATTCTCTTATTTATTAATTTATTTAATATTGTTAAATAGCGACACTCATAAAATAAAATAATTTTCAATTATATTCAGTGATACAGTTCAAATTTTCAGCTTCTCTTGTGAGTAGCCATTTATTCAATCATTTTATGACTGGTTTTAAAGACACAAATTATGGGGCACTAGTCTCTTAATAGCCCCTTTTTAGCAAATGAATTGTGAACTAATTTGATATAATGTTTATCCTCTCTACGAGTGTAATTGTAATACTCAGTAAGTATTTTTATTTTAGCTTATCTACATTATCAATACATTTATATTATCTTAGGTGTAATTGGATCTCACTGTGTTGATCAGGAAACTGTTAAAAATGAAAGGGTCATAGATAAAAGTTTGGAGCCTATATTTGCCTCTGACTTAGACTCCTTCCCACCAGATTTGGAATCAGTGGAAGAAACCATAATTAATGCTTATACAAATGTAACAATACAAGACAGTACCAATACTACAAATGGGACAAGCTTTAAGTACATCAATTGTTTAAAAGGCTTTAATGGATCATCTGTGCAGCTTGTGAATGACACAGAACTGATAAAACTTTTAGTGCCAGATGGGAAGATCTCTGTAGAAAAAGATTCACCTGCAGTTTGCATTGCAGTTTTATTTTATTCAAAAAATTGTCCGTTTTCTAGTATGGCAGCACCACATTTTAATGCTTTACCTAGGGCATTTCCGGACATAAGAATGGTGGCAATCAATGCAATGCGATACCATCTATTTAACACACAAAATGGTATTGTTGGAGTACCTACATTGCTGATTTTCCATAATGGCAGACCTATTGCTAGATACAGTGGCGCTGAATACAATTTAGAATCATTCATGAGCTTTTTTAAAAGACACACGGGTATAGAGCCAGTCAAGAATTCAGTAGTTACTTCATACGATTTTACTGGACCTGTTATTAGTTCACCTGCTAAGGAATCTGACATGTTTTTAATAATATCTTGGCTTTTCATAATTATTTGTTCTTGTTACTATTTCTCCAAGTCAAAGGTGTGTAAGTGGGTCATAGAAACAATACAGAGAAATTGGAGAGAATCTGAGCAACACATACAACATGAACATATAGATTAAAATCATATTTAAATGTACTTAATTATAGTTTCTTGAATGTAAATAAAGGGTATATTGGTAGTATTTCAGTTGTTACATTTGGTTTCTTATTCTTATAGTATTTTTTGACCAGCACACAGGCACACAATTTCTGGTTAACAAATAGAAGAGTTTTTATAAAGCAGTTTTTATTTTTATGCAGTGCAATGTATTATAAGTTGCCTATCTATTTTATATAATAGTTTTTTTTTTATATAGTTATTACCATAGAATAAGAGTATTCCAGAGTGTTGACATTGACTTTTGAAATTTTTTTTGTCTATGTTCTGTGGTCTTAGTTGTCACTTGTCATAGTTGTGTAGGTTACGTACATTAAAGTTTGTTTATATAAATTTGTTTTATAATTAATTTTAATTGTATATCATGGCCAGAAGGTATGTACAGTTATTTATAATAATTCGCAGTAACATTATTCGGTGTAATAAAATTATTGAAATACTCATTTTATTTGGCTAGTTATTTGTTAATGCCGCATGCTGTTTAGGATTGCAATTGTTATGTTTCAACTCTTTAATTTGCAGTCATACTCCAGAGCGAAGACGACGCCGATCTCGTTCAAGAAGTAAAGAAAGATCTAAACCTAGTAAAAGAAGAAGCAAATCCAGAGAAAGGAGAAGGAGTCGTTCAAAAGAAAGATCTGCCAGAGATAGAAGCAGATCTAAGGAAAGATCAGCTAGGGATCGTGAAAGAAGTCGTTCTAGAGATAGAGATGTGAGGGAACGTGATAGAGATAGGGACCGTGATAGGGATCGGGATCGCGAGAGGGCTAGAGATAAAGATAGGGACCGAGATAGAGAGAGAGACCGTAATAGGGATCGTGATCGTGATAGGGATCGTAGGGATAGAAGGTATGTAAAAATTATATGATTATGTAGTTATGATATAATTTTTGACCTTTTTAGGGGTGATAGTAAGGAAAAAAAGTCATCCAGAAGAAGATCTAGGTCCAGAACGCCAGAGAAAAAAGATGATTCAGGATTATCTTTTGATCCAGCAAATTTAGACAAAGTATGTAAACTGTTTTGTAACCTAATTAATAAGTATTAATTATTAATACTTATTTTTAGGAAGAGGAACAGAAAAAACTGGAGCTTGAAATGCAGAAAAGACGGGAAAGGATTGAAAGATGGAGAGCCGAAAGAAAGAAGAAAGAACAGGAAGCTGTTAAAAAAGATGCCAAAACGGGGTCTTTAACAACAAATCTAACTCTTCCTCAAGTAAGTATTTAAATTTGAAACTTTGTTAGAGGTTGTTATTTTATGTTTTTTATAGGGTGCCATTAAAAAGTGGTCTTTAGAGGACGATTCGGAAGATGAGGATAAGTCAGATGAAAAAGCTGATATAAAGAAAGAAAACGATACAGAAATTAAAGAGGAAAAAGTTGAGAAGATGGAGGTAGTAGAGAAAATCGTAACTAAGCCTGAGGAGTCAAATGGTAAAAAAGATGATGAGGAAGATGATGTAGATCCCTTAGATGCATTCATGAAGGGTAAGTGATACATTGTATTTTAGTGCTAATATTTAATATTCAATTTTTAACAGGTGTTCATGAGGAAGTTAGAAATATTAATAAAATAAATGTAAAAAAAGAAGACAGCTCAGACTCAAATAAAAAGGGAGCTTTGGTGATAGTTACGGGTGTTGCTAAGAAGAAAGCAAATACAGACAAGGGTGAAATTATTGAACAAAATCAGGATGGATTAGAGTAAAACAGATAATTTTTTAATAATTTAATGAGATTAAATGGTAATTTTTTTCAGATATTCATCTGAAGAAGAAGCTGAAGATTTAAAAGACACAGCTGCAAATATAGCAAATAAACAAAGAAAAGACTTGGCTAAAATTGATCATAATAATATTGTGTATATAACTTTTAGGAAAAACTTTTATGTTGAGGTGCCTGAAATTGCCAAAATGACTCAGGAAGAAGTTGATGCATATAAAGAAGAATTAGAAGGCATCAGAGTCAAAGGTATTAGAAAGAGGTGTTTTATTTTCAAAATTATAGTTATTTAAAAAATAATTTTAGGGAAGGGTTGCCCAAAACCGATAAAAACATGGGCCCAATGTGGAGTTTCTACGAAGGAACTGAATATTTTGAAGAAAATGGGTTTTGACAAACCAACTCCCATTCAGGCCCAAGCAATACCAGCCATAATGTCTGGTAGGGATTTGATTGGAATAGCAAAAACAGGTCTGTTAATTATTTAAAAGTAATATTAATTCTTAATTATGTTTTTATATTGTTTTAGGCAGTGGAAAGACATTAGCTTTTCTTTTACCCATGTTTAGGCACATACTTGACCAACCTCCTCTAGAAGAAACTGATGGACCAATATCAATTATTATGACGCCGACCAGGGAGTTGTGCATGCAAATTGGGAAAGACATTAGAAAATTCACCAAGAGTTTAGGACTGCATTCGGTTTGTGTGTATGGTGGTACAGGAATTTCAGAACAAATTGCTGAATTAAAGAGAGGTATGAAAGCCAAAAATTGAAATTTTAATACCTAATTACGTTTAGTGTTGACAATTTGTGTTGTCTTTTTTTTAAATATTTTCTGTTGTTGCTGAGGTTAACAAGTTTTAATTATTATAATGATCTGCTGACTATGGTAATATTTTTTTAGGTGCCGAAATTATTGTTTGTACTCCTGGCAGAATGATTGATATGTTAGCAGCAAATAGTGGAAAAGTCACAAATTTAAGGCGTGTGACTTATATTGTTTTGGATGAAGCCGATAGAATGTTTGATATGGGTTTTGAACCACAGGTAAGTTATGGTGTAAAGTAGGGAATGCAATCCCGCAAATGCGGGATCCCTCTGAGATTCCGCGGGATCAAAGTTACGAGATTTCGAGTTGGGGGATCTGCGGGATCGACATATTAACTGGATAACCGAATCGATCTCGATCAAGGTCAAACCGCTTCGTTCCGGGCCGATGCGTCGACGCTCGGAACCCGGGGGATTGCCCTCACGGCTTGGCCATTAAAAATAAGTGAAACAAACAAGTTACTTGTTTAGGTGAGGTTAGGTTAGGATTTCTTTCTGGCGTATGTGCGTAAGTGAAGAAAAGCGTTTAACTAGTACCGTATGATCGTATAAAAACGGCGTCCAGTTGGCTGGGAAATGACGATCGATGGCATTTCCCATATAAAATGACAGCGATCTTCATTTCATAGCCATCGCTGACGCCGTTTTTATTCGATCATACGGTACTTGTGGACAATTTTTTTGGTTAAGAATCTGTTTTACTGCAAATTTACAATTTTTAAAAAATCGAAATTTTTACGAAGTACGACTAATCTGTATTGAAATTAGAAAAAACAATTTTATCGTTTTTTTTATTTTTTTTTTGTAAGGAAAATACAACGTTTTTTTCGATAAATATACATTTTCAGTCATAGTAAATGGCACAAAAAGCTTTGTACATTCTGCATATTCCAAAAAATTATTGATGTAGACTGTATCCAAAAGCAGATAAATTAACACAAGTTAAAAAAAACTTCAACATCAGAATAGTATTTTTATTTATAAAATAAGTAGATAAATTATAATAAAATTTAAGTTTATTTAATATTAAATATATTTTTTGAACACTTTGTATACATCGGTCCAAATTTCTGTACAGCTAGTTTAAGATACACACTATATCAATTCTGATACGACAGAGAAACAAGCCCTATAACATAGGATACAACATTTTAATGAATAATGAACAGTGCATACCAAACCATAAAATCAATAAAATGAAAAATATACGAAATAATATACATGTACTGATTTCTTTCGAAAATCGAAAACTATGAAACTATGAACCCTTCCCGGACACAAACGGTACATTGTGAGACAGGAAATTGTAGGGAGAAACAAGCCCTATAACATAGGATACAACATTTTAATGAACAGTGCTTTCCATAAAATCAATAAAATGAAAAATATACGAAATAATATACATGTACTGATTTCTTTCGAAAATCGACAACTATGCAACTATGAACCCTTCCCGGACACAAACGGTACATTGTGAGACAGGAAATTGTAGAGAGAAACAAACCCTATAACATAGGATACAACATTTTAATGAACAGTGTGGAATATTGTGGGCCTATGCAAAATGTACAATGCCTTTTGTACCATCTAGGACCAAATGTATGACTATAAATGCATATTTTTCGAAAAACCCTCGTATTTTCCTTAAAACAAATTTTTAAAAAAAAAACCACCAAATTGTTTTTTATAATTTCAATACATATTAGTCGTACATAGTTAAAAGTTTTTTACAATTTTTTTCAAAAATTGTAAATTTTCAGTAATAAAGATTCTTTTTATTAGCAAGTTTAATAGGTTGAGTACAAAGAGGAGCATTTATTGTTTATAGTCCCGCAATTTTGCGGACCCGTGGGATTGATTGCTTTAATCCCGCGGGTTCGCAGGATTGAGATTTTGGTGCGGGATTGCATTCCCTAGTGTAAAATTTTGATTAAAACGTGAATTGGTAAAAAAACAATTTTATAAACAATATATGATATCATAATAAAACAATATATGCCTCACTGCTTCTGTTTTGTATTTTATATATTATTTATATTCCTACTCTTTTCTATACTACTTCAATTCTTCAGTTGTACATAAAAACAGTGATTTTATTGAACTGATACTTTAAGGTCATGAGAATAATTGACAATGTCCGACCAGATAGACAAACTGTCATGTTTAGTGCCACTTTTCCAAGACAGATGGAGGCTTTAGCGCGTAGAATTCTTATGAAACCAATCGAGGTTCAAGTAGGAGGTAGATCAGTAGTTTGTAAAGAAGTAAGTTTTCAGTAATAATAATTATTAAGAATAAAACTACATAGAAAAAAATCTGGTCTAGGTTGAACAAAACGTTGTAATTCTGGAGGAGGATCAGAAGTTCTTGAAGTTACTGGAAATTCTGGGTCTTTACCAGGAACAGGGCAGCATAATAGTTTTTGTGGATAAGCAGGAGAATGCAGATATACTGTTGAAGGATTTAATGAAAGCAGGATATAACTGTATGTCCTTGCACGGAGGAATTGATCAATTTGATAGGTATATTTACTGTATAATGATTAATATTCTTGTGTTATATGTATATTTATATTTCCAGGGACTCTACAATTGTGGATTTTAAGTCGGGAAAGGTAAAATTGTTAGTAGCTACTTCTGTTGCAGCCAGAGGTCTTGATGTTAAACAATTAATTTTAGTGGTTAACTATGACTGCCCTAATCATTATGAAGACTATGTTCATAGGTAATTGAAGAGTTTTCTTCAATAACTTCATTACAAGTTCTTAAATTCATATATTTTGCAGATGTGGCCGAACGGGTAGGGCAGGCAACAAAGGTTTTGCCTACACTTTTGTAACTCCGGAACAATGTAGGTATGCTGGCGATATTATTAGGGCCTTTGAACTTGCTAGTGTGGCTGTACCTGAGGCACTTAGAAAGTTGTGGGAGGATTATAAAACCAAACAGGAGTCAGAAGGTAAGATTATTTAAATACGTCCTTATTATTTTTATTTATCTTAAGTTTTTTATTCTTTTAATTTTAAATTTTTTAATAATTATTTAATTCTTTTACTGTATGATGGAAAAAAACTACCGTTGTGTTGGACTGGAAACTATATAGGTTATTATGTTTTAAATATTTGTTTAAAACTGTTTAAAACCTGTTTAGAACTCTGTTTTAAACATGTTTGGTGTGTATGTGTTTTTTTCAACAAAAAAAAAATAAGAAAAATTCTTTCAGCTTTATAATAAAAAATATCAACTCTACTATAAAAATAATAAAAAACAAAATATCGTATGATCGAAAAAAAAACGGCGGTCAGTTGGCTTGGAAATGACGATCATATAATTTTACATATAAAATGACAGCGATCTTCATTTCGTAGCCATCGCTGACGTCGTTTTTTTTCGATCATATTGTATTTTCTGTACATTATTTATAATACACCATATTATACAGGGTGAGTTTTAAATAAGTACAAATATTTTCAGGGTTGGTAGATCGCGATAAAAGAAACATATTTTCTCTTTACTGTTTTTCAGATAAGTCCAGATAATTTTCAGATAAGTCCATAAATATTTTCAGATAACCAAGTTATTCAAGTTTGAATTTATAAAAAATTATATATATTTATTTTTAAAACATTTTGAGAGCCACCGAATTTTTTCTGTATTTGCATCCCTTTTAAGGCCGTAACCATAGAGTAAAGCCGTAACCATGATAATATTCAAATATATTATAAGAATATATTGCTATAGACTGTGAAACGAATAACTTTGAATTTGACAGTTCCCGCGGGCTTTTCTAGTGTTAATTTTATTAGGTTAGTCGTCAATGCCGTCTCTAATAGAACAGCCTCGGAGCGAGATTTATTACGTCACGCTAGTTAGATACTACTGATTAATAAATATGTTGTAGAATACATGGAAAAGGTAATTATTCCTCGCATTTTTGGTTTGTATTTTAAAAATGATATAGTTTACATGAAATATACATAATATACAGTTAATAAATACAATATATATACCTATTTATATTAATAAATACTTTGGCAAATAAATTATGAACCATACAAATGCAGCAAATGTTTTACAATATACAAATAATGAATAGGTACATTGACTATTGCTGAAATTGTACTCCATAGTCAATGTAGATAGTTTTAGTGTTAAGAATAATAATTTTAAAAAATATGTGGTTATCTTTTGACAAGTTTATATTAGTTTATTAATTGCAGTAAACATTATGTGGTGTGTAGTCTGAATATTTTATATGTCATTTTTTGGATTATATTTGACACTATTTTTTTCATATGACACAACACTGATGAAGGCTACAATGTTAGCCGAAAGGTTTTTTTTAAACCAAATTTAAATAATGAAAAACCAAATGAAAACTTAATCAGCGTTTTTCCCGAAATCCCAAGAAAATCAAAAATTTTAGAATAATTTTATATATTATGAAATGACAGCGATCATTATTTCATAGCCTTTTTTCTATGATATTGTATTATTTGCAAATATAATTTTTTGAACATTGATACTTGCAAAATATACATATAAATTTTGTGAATGCAAATAATAATATATCACTATTAGTAGATATTGAATGTTTTTTGTTAAATTAGATCGATTTTCAAACCCCAAAATTTAAAATATATTTTACATTTTACCCATTATCCTATGTACCTATTCATTATTTGTATATTGTAAAATATTTGCCGTATTTGTATGGTTCATAGTTTATTTGCCAAAGTATTTATTACTATAAATAGGTGTATACATTGTATTTATTAACTGTATATTATGTATATTTCATGTAAACTATATTATTTTTAAAATACAAACCAAAAATACGAGGGAGAATTATGTTTTTAATGTATTCTACAAAATATTTTTTAATCCGTAGTATCTAACTAGTGTGACGTCATAAATCTCACTCCGAGGCTGTTCTATTAGAGACGGCATTGGTCTGATATTTAAAAATGTCAAAAGCTGATGACATTTTACTTTTGACAATTATGACATTTCGTGTTGATTTTTGTAAGAAGAGGAAAAACTGTCACTTGTTTTATTATTTTCCTTTTCTATTCCACGAAAGTAAAAAGAGTTACCTATCTGATCCGTTCAGGCACTCAATTTAAAGAATTTCAGTAACTTTTTTGACAGAAGCCAAAGAAAAGAAATAGGAAAATCAATCTCGCATAAGTTTATACTTTTAGTTCAACAGGATTTTCGTGCGCACGCGTCAAATAAAACGATCTGATTCGTCTACTTCATCGCTGAACGCTGTCACCTGCCCGTGCACTATTTTAAACTCTAAACTCTTAAAAACGTATAATATATTTTTTTATTGGTAATGGCATTATTTCAACCTGTTATTTTAGATATTCGCCATATCTATTCGTTTCTTGTTTTTGTTTAAATACGTCAGAGATTAAATTTAAATTTATGTCAAGGCGCGAATAGTCAGACGCTAAATTGATTTACGTGGTAGATAGAAACTTAGAAAATTACTTTTAGTGGTTAGTATGAAATAAATTAACTAATCGCGAAGCACTTCACACCTTCACACGCTTGCGTAGTTCAAAACTGTTAAACGAAAAGGACCGACTTACGTGGATTTTGTATAGCTCCATCTCAAAAATTTGGCTTCAATTTCAGTTTCTTATTAGCAATATATTCTTATAATATATTTGGTAATATAAGAGATTAAGAAATTATAAGTGGGAAAATTTGCAATGAACAGGCAGTTCTAAAAAGTTTTCTAAAATAACAGGAAACTTTAGAAATACACGATTTTTAACATTTTTTTTTTGCGAGAAAAACCTCAAAGACGTGTTCCTGGGGTCGAAATATACTACCACTAAAAATATTTGCGCTTATTTAAGACTCACCCTGTATAGATTTACCTACTGATTTGCTGTTTTAATTTTCAAATTTTAGTATGTGGTGTTGATAGTTACCCCGCAATAAAAGTATACACACAAAGAAGGATAACGTGTTCTGTGAATACCTATTTATTCTTTATTAGCTGACCATACCAATAGGTCAAAATGAGTTATTATAACTCCCAAATTACAGCAGCTAGCGAAACGCGGTTTTCAATTTAAGATTAGGAATAATATTTGCAACAAAATTTGTAATAACATCAAAATCAGTCAAAGTCACAGTTTTTAAGATAAATGAAATTGAAAAAATTCCTTTACTTTGAAACTAAACGATCTGCCTACCAACTTTTTATTAACATATTTTAGTATGGGCGGCTATACGTGCCCCCCGGCGCCAATTTTTTTTTCTTCCTTTCGTTCTAAATGTTCTCGAATTTGCATTTTTCTCGAGAATAATAAGAAAAAGTTAGAAGTTTCTGAATAAAATTTGTAAAAGACACTGATTGATTTTCTAATCTATTTTCTTTGCGCGTTTATTCTCGTTCTTGTTCGTTCGTTCTCGGCGAACGTTTTCCAAAAACAAATTCTTGAGCATTTTACAACACTAGACGGACAGAATTTATCGCTGATTGTCATTTCATGGGCCATTTTTTTTCGATCGTTCGCCGTTTTTTTTTCGATCATACAGTATACTAATTTTTGTAGAGAATAAATCTGTTGGTTTTCTTTTAGAATTTCTTATGAATTAAAATTGTGTTTGTAGTAATTGTACTTGTACGATCTATGTTTTTTAATATTAAAAATACTTTGAACACAATCGAAAATATGATTTTATGCGTTTTTTTCCAGGAAAGAAAGTTCACACAGGTGGAGGTTTTAGCGGCAAAGGTTTCAAGTTTGACGAAAACGAAGCCGCGATCGCTAATGAAAGGAAAAAGTTCCAAAAGGCCGCTTTGGGGCTTCAAGATAGCGACGACGAAGATCTCGAGCAAGACATCGATCAGCAAATTGAAAGCATGTTTGCTACAAAGAGAACTGTTAAGGAAATCAAAGCTCCTCTTGGTATAATATGTCGTATTTTTATAGGAATTATTAATTATTTTTGTTGTTATGAATTTGTTAGGTATCAATCCAGCAGCGGCTCAAGGTGCTGGCGCTGGTTCCGCAGTTGATAAGCTAGAGTTAGCTAAGAAGTTGGCTTCGAAAATTACATTTACCAAAACAAGCAGTTTTGATACTAAATTCGCACCACAACAAGCAGCAGAATCGATTCTTAAAGGTAAATATAATAAGATTAAAAATTAATAATTATATAATTAATTATTAATAAAATATAGCAGATTTACAGTTTTTCTATATAGGAAACTAAATAAAAGTTCTCACGTCGTAGTATACCTACATTGCAATGTTGTTACGTCTACTTTTTTTACTTTTACTTTTGAGAAGCGTTAATATCTTTTTATAGGTTAATATCAGTGTATTTTCGCGATTTTTTTTTAAATTTGGTATTTTTCGAAAAAAATATTGGATGGTTTTTTAATTCTTAGTTAAAAAACATAATATAATATCTTGATATTATGACATAGGTAGTATATTATATTTAAAAAACAGAAAAACCAGTAAAAAAACAGTGGTTCTCAAAACATGAGTATAAAATATATGTACAGCTGGTTCCAAAAAAAAAAATGAATACGACTCTGCACATTTTTTTCGAATATTTGAGCAGTGTATATTTTATGTGTCAAGTATTTTGACATGTTAAGGTTATTGTGACATTGTATAAAACAACTTTGCTTTTGACAAAGTGGCAAATAAATTTTTCAGAACGTCAGCATGACATGAGTAGAGAAATGGCGGACTGGTGTCATTGAATATATTGCCCGAAATATTAAAAATATGTTTTAAATTGTACTCAATTTTATTGGAACCAGCTGTACATTCAGGGTGGTCCGAACTGTATTCCGGAAACTTCGGCAGCATATTCTGCAGGTAAAAATATGTAAAAAGTTTCTATAAATGTATGTCCTAAAATGCTTAGTTTCGGAAATACAGGGTGTAGAAGTTTTATTTTTATGTCGATTTTTTCCAAATAATTTCTGAAGTAATGTCAATATATGGATGAAAATTGGTTCCTGGTAGTTTTTGACGTGAAAAATTTGATTTTGTTGTCAATATGACTCCTACTTGTAGAGGACGCCACCTACATATTTTTTAACTGGTTTGAAGAGTAATAACTTTTCGTCCGTATTTGTATAAAACTACTGAGTAAAAAAATATACATTTACGACGTTTTTTACGTAAAAAAGGTCTCTTGGTAAAAATCGCTACGGGTAATGGTTCTCGAGACATTTGGAATCGAAATTATCAATACCTGTCATCATTGACATAAATTAAACGTGTTGACCACAGAATATACTAACGAAAAAGAAGCCCAAGTTCCTTGTAATAAATCGGTTCCATTTTCGTAACGCCATCTCTCGACATAGTTGACATTTATAGGTTAGCCAAAGGGGTGCGGGGCCGGGGGAATTGTAAAATACACTTTTTTATTTTAATTATTTTTATTCGCTATTTGCAATTTTATTTTTAAAACATATTATGTGAAACAATCACATAATATGTCTTAAAAATAAAATTACAAACGGAAACAAAAGGAATTAAATAATCTGAAAATCTACAAAGTTTATTGATAAAAAAGTTAGGCTGTGCAAATTGATATATTAAGTATAACCTCTTTGGTTTAACATTGTTAAATAAACATTAACAAATCATAACATATCAGATCATAGAACTAAAAAAAGTACTATTACATAAAAACAGGTGATACAATAATTCAAAATTAGTTTTAACATAATATCAAAACCGAAAAATCAAACTGCAAACACAACCACACTTATCACAACAGAAATTAACACACACTTCCGCGGCAAATGTCCAAGAAAGACTGATCATTCTGATTGGTCCTGGTCCGGTCGTAGCTCACGTCGTATTGTCGGTGAGCAAAATCCCTGTCCAAAGATTTTGACGATCAGCGCCATCACCCGTCATAATTGGGAAACTTTTGCTGGAACCATTTTTAATATTTCACTTACATGGCCCTGGTGTTGACTAAATAGTTATTAGACTGAACTAATAAATTGAAAATCATTTTGTACTAAAATTTCAATAGAAACTGTTTTATCATCATTTTTTTGCAGAAAAAATTATGATTAATTTAAAAAAATAAAAATTTCCCGAATTTATTATTTCAGTCAAATAATTAACATATCTACTCTATTTTTTGTCAATAATGACAGTTATTGAGTATTTCCGTTCTAAATATCTTGAGAACGGTTGCTTGTAGCGATTTTTACCCAGAGACATTTTTTACGCAAAAAGTCACGGAAATGTATATTTTTTTACTCAGTAGTTTTATACAGGTACGGACGAAAAGTTATTACATACTAGTGATGTAAAAATTCTAAGTAATTGTTACAAAGTAACAGTTACTTTACGAGGACTCGAAGTAACGCTTACTATTTGAATTTAGGACTCGTTACTCGTAACTAAGCTAATTCGTTACTTTTGCGCCGGCAGTAATCGTAATCCCTGGAAATGCACGAACCGAGGACTCGAAACTCGATACTGAAATATTCCTTACTTCGACGTAGGTCTAGTTGTTATCAATATGCTTATGTTTAAAGTGTTAACTTGACGCCGGCCGGTGTTTTGGGATGGCAAATGTGTGATATTTTTATTACAATTATTATGATTGGCTCATGCCGACCCGGCGGTTTGTCCCTTTGCCGTTGGTTGTCGCTTTTTATTTATGTAATTCCGCACGTTTTTTCAATTTTAGCTGAAATAAGTAATAAGATATTATTTAGGGGTAGAGTGTGTTTTATTTTTTGATTTATAATTGCTCGGTGGGCGAAGGTGGGCGAATTAACATCTGAAAAAGCAGAACAAATATTTTTCCTCTTCAAAAAAGAATAGATATTTCGCCACTTACACTGTAAGAAAATCTACAAAATAAAAATAGTAATTTTTACTAAACACTGCAGCGTTAATCCAAAGGACTTTTGATGATGAATGAATCTGCCACAGAGGAGGATACATTTTTTTAAATATTTTTACATTGAGAGAGAGAGAGAGAGAGAGGAAATTTACTACATTTTATTAAAAACATATTAGTCAGTACTTGAATACCGAGCATTGAAATTATCCTATTAAGCCCTTACACTAGAAGAAAATAGAAACTCCTTATAGGTTAAAAAGATTACGCAACGAAGATCGCCGCGCGAAGGAACGAAGTTCCACGTCAAGCCCAACTCTTCTAACCCAAATTGTTCTTATATATGATGTGCTTACCGAAGAACAGCATTTAATTTTTATTTATATAGATATGAAATTGTTTTTAGGTACCAGTTCTTCGTTGCCGATAACGGCTAAGACCGTAGCCGAACAGCTGGCTGCCAAATTGAACAATAAGCTGAATTATCAACCCAAAGATGATGAAGATAAAATGGACGAGGATAATGAGCAGACGTTCAGAAAATACGAGGAGGAATTGGAGATCAATGATTTCCCGCAACAGGCTAGATGGCGTGTCACTTCAAAGGTAAGAACAGGTTAATTTTAATAATCTATCAAGCTACCTATTCTGTATATTAGACACCGAACTTTGAAAAAGGCCAGATTTCATCATTAGGAATTTTTGAAGTGAATCTTCTTTACGCGCGATGGGGTAAAAATTCAGTACTGTGACACACCACGGTCTTGACACGTCATGGCCTTGATTATGCCTTGGCGCACGAGCTAGCGAGAAAAAAAGTGGTAAGGATCGCGCAAATACTAAAAAACCTTTGATTTAAAGCATTATAATAAACGTGATACTGTACCTGGATACCAATATCACAGATTAGGTATACTATATGTATACAGATTAAAATCTTATCCCTAATTCGTGGTACGAAAATCGTTTTTTATGACGATGTGCAAACGAGTAAAATTTCCTGTACGCAAAAATAAACTCGCGTAAAATAACAATAAACAGCGTAATAGAGAGATATTGCTAAACCGAATAGCGTGCATGGACGTTAATAAGGCCAGGTGTTATTTCCTTTACGCGAGGTGGTATTAACTCTCTTCATTTATAGTTATCGGATCGGAAAGAATTCTATTCGCGTCGCGTCCGCTATTTAAACTTAACCTAACTTTGAATTTAAAACTTTGAAATTGTTTTGTTTACTAGGTATTTTAAAATTAAAGGGCTAAAGTGTTTATTTCCAGTGCTTTATTGTTCAAAGTCTGCCAGTGGGTTTAGGGCAACAAGCAACAAATTCTCTTAGAAGGGTTAAGTCGTCATCTGCTGTAAACCTAAGCCTCTTTATAGGTTCTTTAATATTGGAAGAGATGGAATCCATATTTTGGGCCATATTTATTTAATTAAAACTAATCCCAGCTACTTGAACTCAAATTACCTAATAAAACTAAAGTAATAATTCAAAACAATTCAAACATAACCTAAAATAAAAGATCTCGCCGGCCGGCCCTGGTTGTCAAATACCCGCACATGCCCATTTAAGCAATTTTTAAACGTTTTAGAAATAGCGCTTGGTATAATTGATCCGCAAATTACGTCAGGCGGTAACGTTATTAGCGGGTGTTGCGTTAAAAATTGACTCGCGCACATCGTAACCATGATAAGGTACGCGTAAATACTGCATGACGCTATTCGGTTTTCTGATATCTCTCTAATAACTGTGCCGGTCCGGCGCACAGTGGGGTATTTGACACAGATAGTTGATCGAAATTTTTTTATGTTGACCTTATATAAATTATTGCTATTTTATCTCTTTTTTTCAATTAAAGAAGAAATAATATGAACAAAATAAAGGATAATTCGTCGATTCTAAAAAAAAAGAAAGAAAAATCACTGTTCCAGTGTTTCCACGGTCAATGCCACTAATGCCAGTAGTAATATCGCAACTAATACTACTAATGCTACGACTGATCCGCGAGCAATGCCCATACCACTAAAGTCACTACTAATGTGAAATTGTGCTATACTGCTAATGGCACTAATGCGATCGCTTTATACACAGCAATGCCATCGCAGTTTACACCTCGCATTAGTATATCACTGATTGGCAAATTAGAGGAAACCAAGAATGTTTTTCTCATTTTATCAGCAAAGTCGCAAAAAGTCGCAGTATTTTATTTTACTGTATGAAAGCCCAATGTTTACTAAGTAAAACATATATAGACAATATGCTGAATTCTTCGAAATGCGCAACTAAATCTCTAAGTATAATAAAAATGTCACAAATTTAATAAAATTTTCTGAACAAAATTTTCTGAACGAAGCAAAAAAAATCGTTAGTATAGAGAATATCAAAATAAATAATACGTTTTTGTAGAATACATACCTGCAGCTTGCTGAGCCATTTTCAATCAAAACAATAATATAAACGTAAAATGAGCACTAGAACAACAACAATTTATAATTTTAAACATAAAATTTAGCCATTTACCTCTTATCTGTGAGAAGTAACAACTTTGACGTTTCGTTGAAACAAATGAATGCAACTAAACACACCCATAGCAACGCCATTCATGGCAGACATGATTTAACTTATCATTTATCTTTTTTTGGGAAATCTTAAACACATTTGCTTTTTCGAATTTCGATCACCTTTTTCATGCTAATACCCCACCGTGCGGCGCTGTGCACAATTTTAGAGGCCATAAGTGGACGTGCTATGTGCGCAAACTAGTAACCTAACTAGTGCCCGATTCCGAAAATTGGATCCACGAAAAACAATAAAGAAAAAACTAAGTTTATAATCTGTATAATCTCTGCTCAGAATTACAATTATTAGAGTTAAGCAACTTGCAGTTTCATTGGAGGACATTCTCATATTTATTTCAAACCAAATCAACGAGAATATTCTATTCTATATATAATTTAACAAAAACACTGTAAACCACTATATTTAACAAATTACTGTAAACCACTATAAATACGAATTGTAGGTTAGGTTCAAAATTTTCCCTTTTCTTAAATAAATTTAAGCTTTAACATTATTAGGCGTTTGTACAAAAGTGTGTATTTTGGGTGTGAAAAAATTTGTAGGCTATTGAGGAAACAGAAAATGTACAGATTACAGAAATAAATTGAAAATAACATTTATATTAAAACATTCATTATATGTCACTTTTTCAAACATGTCGTTCAAATCCTCCAATTTAATAGCTGTTAATAAAAATTTCAAAATACTGACTCTTCCTTCTTTATATTCATTTTTGAATCCGTTTGCTTAATCCGCAAGCACATATCTGCTATTCCCAAAAGGCCATCTCATAACTATCCACTTAGGAATGCGGAGCACGATCTTTATCTGCCAAGCCCGAGCTCAGAACTAGTTAAAGGCTCAATACTGTACAATGCCAAAAAAGTCACTTTCATTCTGTTCCGCATTTCGCAAAGCTCTGAAATCATACTTACTGGAGAAATCCCTATATGCGGTAAACGACTTTTTTGTTGATGTTTAATCATGAACAATTTTGAATTTTAAAATTTTGATCATCTCACACTCTGGTTAAAGATCTAGTATTTAATATTTAATATTTTATAACTTTACATGATTATATCAATTTACAATTTTCCTATTAATAAAATTTTATTGATATACCTTTTTTTGTGTTCTGCAATGTCTATTTTAATGACGTAAATTTTTTTGAATTGATTTGTATTGTATGATATTTTTTATTATTTGTACATTTTTTGTGCTTTTGTTCGTTTGTTTTGTTAGGTTAGGCTTACACACAATTTTTTTTAAATTTTTTGTAAGTAAATAAAAACAAGATAAGTTACTTCATATTGGAATTTGTGCATTAAAATATTAATCTGTTTTTCTTAATTTGTTATTGAATGTACAATTTAATCAAATTATTTTTTATTCTGTTCCGACTGCCTTGATTTTTCTAGATACACCGAACTTATTTAATATTTATCTGCACTAATTTGTTTTTATGTCGAAACACGTTCATTCCGACGGTAGATTAAGCTAAATTGGCTAGCAACAAAACGAAAATATGTTAAAACCGAACGAAAAACATATCTTAAAGCTAACAACACATCGTTTGTAAGACGTTTGTTTGTGTATTTGTCTAGAAAAGACGATAATATGGTATGATGTTATGTCATGATGGTCGTTAGACATTTTGGAAATTTTCCGCAACGCTATCTCTTTTTCTTAATGTTTACCGGTAAACAAAGAAGTACAATACATTTTGTCTAGGAAGAGATAATAAATATCAACAATAAGAAATTGGTGTTTTTACGTATTATATTTTTACATATTTCGTCGAACAATAAATTATGAATTTATGTATGCAAAGTTTGTCTAACGAGAGTACCTTGATGCCAGTAGGCCAGTGAACGAGGGTTTTAGGGTCCGAATTCTGAACACCTGCACCGATTGACGTGAAATTTTAACATTGAATTAAAACAGTTTTTTAAAACTATTTTAAAAACTTTCATGTATACTACTGAAATGAAGATAATATATCTAAGCTAAATATAATCTATTACAGCTGTAGTAATAAGGACACCCTAAAAACCCGGACATTTAGAAACCTCAGGGTAATCGAGTCTATCTTATTTCAAATCTCTCAATCACAACCTTTTTTTACAGGAGGCCTTAGCACAAATATCCGAATATTCCGAGGCAGGCATCACAGTGAGGGGTACTTACGTCCCCACAGGCAAATCGCCACCCGATGGTGAAAGAAAACTGTACTTGGCCATCGAGAGTACCTCCGATATGGCCGTGTCTAAAGCCAAGTCGGAAATCACCAGGTTGATCAAGGAAGAATTACTGAAGTTACAGACTTCAGGTCATCATATGATAAACAAGAACAGATATAAAGTGGTGTAGAAAGATAATTTATTATAAAATATACCTTGTGATCGATAAAAAAACGGCGTCAAAGACGGCTGAGGGACGACAATCGATGATTATTTTATAGAGGTCAATCTCTAGACGTCATTTACTAAAAATTGACATAAAACTTGTCAAAAATTAACATTAATTATAGAAAGATAAAAAAACTATACAAAGTTTCCTGACACACACAATTTTTTTTTGAATATTAAATTACTTCATTTAAAAATCGTTTTTACTCAAGGTAAAAATAAAATTCAACCTTTTTAAGGCCCTCAACTGGCAGTAAGCGCCATTAAAACATACAGAAGAAAACTTTGCAAAGTAAATGACGTCTAGGGCTTGACCTCACCAAAATCATCATCGATTGTCATTTCCCAGCCGTCTTTGACGCCGTTTTTTTTTCATCGTATGGTAATTTCATTTAGTGTATCTTTGATTTATATTAATTAACTTTACGAATAATAAAGCAAATAAATTATATTGTAAATTAGTTGTTTAATTTTTTTAATGATTTACTACAAATATATTAAGTCTGTCCAACGAGATGGTACATGACACTGACATTTGACAGTTGTATTTGTCACTTAAATTAACAGGCAAATTGTATTTTCTTTATTTTTTAGATGAAATCTACCGGATTTTTCCTGGCTTGTTGGTCAGACTATACAGGGCGAGTCTTAAATAAGTGCAAATATTTTTAGGGTTGGTTGATAAAAGAAACATATTTTCTTTTTGCCGTTTTTCAAATATGCCTAGAAAGAGTTATTTTATTTTGAAAATTCCACACCTGTAATTTTTAACCAATCAAAACGTGTTTTTTGACAAACCACCATGGCAGCGGATAAATTTTAGTGAAAATTTTTACTACGTTTTAAATACACTGTGTTTCTGTGGTCGAAATATACTACCCTTAATATATTTGCACTTCAATTGCAAATTCACCCTGTATATACCAATTCCTATTAATCACTTATTTGAAACCAGATATTGCTTATACATTTCTTCAGTTTTACCATTTTTTTGTAAAACAGTTGTAATAGATTACGCGAACAACAATAACATTATTAGTTTGTTGACCTAAAGATTCACAATCATGGTCAATTGTTTTAAGAATTGTTTATGCTATACAGAGTGTAATAAAGTTATATTTTTGTGTCTGGTGATAAAGGAAACTAAAAATAAAAATGATAAAGAACATTTTTGTAATACGACATTTGTTGATATTGTTATTTATTAAAAAAAAATGAATTGAATAATTTTTTATCCCGAGAGGTATTCTTTAATTGTATTATTGAAGTTTTGAAGGGTATGTGTGAGATATTTTTTGAATCTGTAAAAGTTATACTATGTAAAACCCTGCCCTGTTGTCGTTTTTTTTCGATTGTTTATTACTCTGAATATTAAGCTAGGTTGTATTATTTAGAAAAAAAAAACTTTATATCAATATCCATAGTTTGTCCAACGTTTTCGGGAAGATTTGGACAGACAACATCCAAAAAAATGCCAGGATCAGGATATACAATTTGCCACGAATTAAAATAACAGGCACTACTGTCAATCACAGAGACTCCCGTTGGACAGGCTATAGGAGCATTTTAGGTAAACTTTTATATGTAAAAAACCTATTTACATTTTTTTAAATGCACGTATTTTTGTAATGATTGTTTGTACCTATAACCATTTACTAAAAAAGAATATTTTTAGTACAAAACGAAAAATATCCGAAATAAGATATTTCTGATGCACTTATTTATTACTTATATTAATTTGATTAGTTTATTTTTTATTTTAATAATACATACGACAGCTATTTTTAAAGTAATAAAAATTATTTTTATAGAACCGTAAGTATTTAGAACTGAATAAATTATTCATATAATTGATTATTAATTTTCTTCAAAGAAAGAAAATCGAAAAATCTCGAAAAGGTCAGTGTCTACAATAAGAGCCGTTAGTTATCAGCCGAAAAATAAAAATCATTCTGTACTGTCTTAGAGACAAAAGGCGTAACTAACGCAAACAATAATACACATACAGAAGAGATAAAACCAATTAGGAAAACTTTTATCAGAGGTCAAACGTTCTTAGAGACTATAAAATTGGTTGGAAAATCGTGTTGAGGCACACTCCATCGCTGGTCCTCTTGGAGTAAAGATGAAGTTGGTGGTAGCCTTGGGGGTTGTAGGCCTTTGCGCCCTAGCTGTGAGCAGTCCAACAGGGGATGACACCTATCCTGGACAGTATAAAACAGGCAAGTACTTTTGTAACTCTTTTTGGGTTAAATATTTCATATTATTTGAGTAATATATAATTTTTAAAGCATTATAAAGTAAAGAACAATCATTTTAGTCTGAAACCCCTCTTTCTTATTAATATTCCTATAATTATTTTATACCTACATTTGTGTTTTTTCTAAATTTCTCTGTATAATATATAATATAGAATTAATTACATATTTTTTGAGAAGCAGAAAAGTCACCAAATTTTGAATTTTGCACCTATATACAAATTTAATCTCAAGACCACTACAAGACTTTATTTTTCGAAATTCATTACTTTTGTGTTTAACTTACTCTTTTAGTAATTCAAATTTAATAAATAAAAAGTAAAAATATTATCGTGATAGCATTTATGTAAAGTTTTATGTTTTTTGTATTTTACTTGTATTTATACTTATTTATTTAAACAATTATATTAAATATTTATGTAGGTTTAAGAAAATATATTTTTTTCTTGGCTGGTCATCCTTTTTCAACAAAATTGATCTTTTGAGTTTTTCTTGTTCATCAAACAGTTGCCGAGAAAAAAATAAATATACTTATTAAGAGCCCGCCTTAAGCCGTTTTCTAACGATTTTTTTTAGATTAATTAGGAAACACCCTGTATATGCATATTACAGGCAACCAAATAAACTAGTAACCTCTAAAAATTATTTTTCCTACCACTAGCGACATACCGTGTTTTTAGTGAGTACTAAATTATTTAATCAAAATTTCACCATATAAGTTTCCAGGCATTGTCTTTCATCAATTATATTAATGTATAACAATATACAGAGTAAGTCTGAAATAAGAGCAAATATTTTTAGGTGTAGTATATTTTGACCCCCGAAACATGTGTATGGGGATTTTTGCAAAAAAAAACATTGATAATTTGGAACTTTTTGAATTTTTTTTTAATTTTTAGTTAAAAAACATAATATCTTTATAATATGGCAACATAGGATAGTAGATTAAATTTACAAGTAAGAAAACTCAAGAAAAGATCAAGTACTCAAAATTTGAGCGAAAAATATTTTTTTCTTAATTTTTGAAGTAAAATATTTGGGTTATTTTGGACTTATTTGAAAAATGTTTTCTTTTAAGAGAAAATATGTTTCTTTTATCGAGTTCTATATCAGCCCTAAAAATATTTGCATTTATTTAAGACTCGCCCTGTATATCGTAAGACCGAAAAAAATTGGCTTTAAATTGGTTGGAAATGATGATCGATGTGTTTTTTCGATCATATGGTATTTAATAATTTAGATATCAAAAATATTATTTTGTGTTTAATAAATTTGAAAAATAGTATAGAAAATACTATGATAAAAAAGTTAGTGTCTTGATCTTATTGAAAAATTTAAAAAAATATAGGACTCTTTGCAGAATAATCCAACTAAAACGAATAAATGAATATTAAAATATGGGATTTGTAGTAATGGGAGATATCCTCTAGGAATCCTTTAGTTAGTGTTTTTTGTTGTTAAAACAAAATTTTGCTCAAATTTTGAGAATCACTAAATCTTTTCTGGATTTTCTTTCTTGTAAATCAAGAAATTATGGTTTTAACTAAAAACTAAAAAAAATCTAACAAATTTTTCAAAAAATTCCGAATTTTCAAAAAAAAATTTTGCGAAAAAAACTTCATAGGCGTGTTTCTGGGGTTATATAACTATACTACCAGTTAAAATACTTGCACTTATTTCTGTGACACCTTATATAAATTATTTTAGTTTATAGTGCTTGTATTAGGTATTTCACCAAATTTATTTCTCTTATTGCCAGAAAAAATTCGATATTCTTCTATGTTTCATTATATTTAATTGTTGCCTTCTATTTGTTGCATTTCTTGTTTCATCTATTTCTATATAGCATTTATTATTTTGAATTAATTAATAAAATTACTTCGATTTGAACCGTATAATTCACAATTAATTGTATAATATACAGGGTGTCCCACATGGGCGCCGGACAGGGGGGGCAAGAGGGGGCATTTGCCCACCCCACCTGGATCACTGAAACAATAAAAATAAAAGCTATCTTCTTACATTCATCTATAAAAAAAATAATCATTATTATGAAATTGTTAGGTGTTACCTGTAAAATAATAACAAATGTGGTAATTATTGTGAAAACTGGAAATCGTCCGATTTTCACCAAAACTGGTATACACACTATTTTGAGGTCGTAGATTACGAATCTATTTTTTTCTTGGCGGTCTCTTACCGTTTTTCAGAAAAACGAAAAATTATTTCAACATTGAATTTTTCTTAATTTCGGCCCTATAAAGTAATAATTTCACTATATTTTCATTATATTATAGTTTATCTAAAAGCCACACTTGATTGGGGATAGAAAAGTGTCCAACATTTTACTGAAAAACACTTTTCTTAACAAAATAGCAAAGAAAATTGAGACCAGGTGGAAGTTTGACATTTGATATATCCTTCTTTCTCTCTCCTATGTAATAAGAGAGACAAATATATTCTAGACCTAATCTAGAAATTTTAAAATTTACAACGTTGCCATATGGCTTGTCAGGGGCTTTTTACTCGTACTAAACATATTTGCTTAATCGACAAAAAAATGCATAATATTTAATATTTCTCTCCCCGTCAGAAGCAAGCAAGTACAGAAAAAAAGAATTAAATTTTTAAATAAAACTAATACAAAGACACTTTAGTTTTTAGCAAATACGTCTATTAAAATCGTTAACGAATCCATACCTAGGATTTTAAAATTGTAGAATATACTAATAATAAAAACTCTTGAAGTAAAAAAAAAATAATAAAAAAATAGCTATATTAAATATAACGATGGAAAATAACAAAAAAATCTGATATCTCTCTCTCCTTTTCAGTCACAGCCGATAAAACTCTTGTGGACAAGCAAAAAAAAGTCTTGTCTCTTTTTAGAAGAATTAACCAGCCGAGTTACAATGAAGAGCATATTCAAATTGTAAAAACATTCAAGCTTGAAGATCCCAGTTTATACACAGTAAGTTTTATTACTTATCACAAATAATCTACTACTCACTTTAATTTTGAACCATCCATTCTGAACTATTTTTGATTACCAATATATTAGCTGTTTTTAGCTGATGAATATTATTTATATTAAACAGTTTTCAGAGCAATACATACTTTTCTATGAATATATACATTTTACAGACATATTTTTTGTCATTACATATAAAATAATAACAAGTTTTACTCTGTTACATCTCCAGTATGATCCAAGAGTAGTAATTAAGATTAATTTGCCCCTATTTTTTTTTTCTAGAAACCCGAAGTTGCTGAAAAGATCACCGAGTTCTACCAGAACGGCTACCAACTACCCAAAAAAGAAATTTTCTCCCTAGCTTATCCCGAGCACTTGGAACAAGCCATTGCCGTCTTCGATCTGTTCTACTACGCCAAAGATTTCGACACCTTCTACAGAACAGCCGTAGCAGCACGTCACTGGCTCAACGAAGGCTTGTTCTTGTATTCTTATTCCGTAGCTATCATCCACAGACCTGATTGCTACGGTATTGTACTTCCTCCACTTTACGAAGTGTACCCGTACTATTTCTTCAACTCCGAGACCATTCAGCAAGCTTACAAGTACAAGCAAACTTGGAACGGCCAACCTATCCAAAGCACTGGAGGGAAGTACCCAGGTTACACTATCGTTTCTAATTATTCTGGATATTACATTAACTTACATCCAGAACAATCGCTTTCATATTACTTGGAAGATGTCGAATATAACAACTTCTATTACACTTATTATTTGTACTATCCTTGGTGGATGGATGGTGAGAAATACGGCATCAACAACGACAGGCGTGGAGAGTTGTTTTTCTTCTTCTACCAACAGATTCTTTCCAGATATTATCTGGAACGTTTGTCCAACGATTTTGGACAAATCCCTCTCTTGGACTTGGATGTCCCGATTGAAACACCATACTATCCATCTTTGCAATACCCCAACGGCTTGCAATTCCCTGAAAGACCCAAGTTTGCCAGATTATCTGATTATTTCTACAGTTATGGACAGCATGTCAGGTCTCATTTTGCTCACAGTTTGAGTTACTACAAGGATTATACAAGGAGAGTTGTAGATGCTATTGATAGAGGATATTGCTTGAACGTAAGAAGCTTTACTACTTAGAAAGAGACACTAAGTTCATTCTAATTATTTTATTAATATTACAGAAACAAGGTGAACGTGTAGAACTCTATAACGACAAGCATGGTTACAACACTATTGGAAATCTTCTTCAATCTAATCCAGACTCTCCAGACGAACGGTTTTATGGACCTTGGTTGGGTAAGTAAATAGTTTAACTTACCCTTCGTTGATTTTAATTGTTATTCATTCTTTTGATAGGTTATGGTCGTCATGCTTTGGGATATTCCTACACTCCACTCTACAAAGACAAGGTAGCTCCATCTGCTTTAGAACATATCGAAACTTGTTTAAGAGACCCAGTGTTTTACCAACTCTACAAAATTTTAATCAACTACTATCACAGGTAATACAGGGCCCGGCAATAGTGCGTCGGGCATTTGTAGCTTCTAAAATAAAAAACTTGGGAAGTGTAAACCTAAAATATGTACAAGGATATATTTCAGGAAAATATTTTAACTTCTATAGGGTGGCTCAAAAAAGAGTAAGTGTATAAGATATGAATAAATATAACTCGATATTTTCAGAGATATTTATAAATAAATAAAATATATATTTTTCAAATTTCATTAAAAAAATTATTACAAATACAACAACTGTCCTGAAATGAAAACTATTTTAGGTATTTATTTTAGATGACCTATACTTACTTTGCTATAAATATCGTAATCCTAAATCATACAGGGTGTTCAAAATTCTACGCAAAACTTTCTAAAATATAAAATAAATTTTCTTTGTTTTTTTTTGTATATTATTTTTTTATTAGATGGAGAATTAAATAATTAACATTTTTTGTGTTTAAAGTATTTCAAAATTTTTAATGGTTTCGCAGATACACGCAGTATTATTTCATATGGCTCTTTCCAAGGTAAAATATAAACAAGAGAAAAATCATTGGGTGGCTTTGATAAACATTTACTATGGAAAATGCCGTATGAAATATATAACCGCGAATATCTGCGAAACCGTTAAAAATTTTGAAATACTCTAAATAAAAAAAATGCTCATTTTTTAATTCTTCATCTATTGGAAAAATAATATACGGGGTGTCCCATTAAAAAAAACGAAGATAAATTATTTTATATTTTAGAAAGTTTGGCGTAGAATTTTGAACATCCTGTATGATTTGCAATTACCATATTTATAGCAAAGTAAATACAGACCATCTAAAGTAAATACCTAATATAGTTTTGATCCCAAGACAGTTCTTGTATTTTTAATGATTTTTTTAAGAAAGGCTGAAAAAATATATATTTTTTATTTATTTTTTAATATCTCCTGAAACTATCGAAATATATTTACACATATCTTAGGATTATGTAAAGTGATCTAAGATGAAGTCAAAAAAGCAATAATATACAGGGTGTTCCATTAAAAAAATCATCCGGATCCACTCACACTTTTTTGAGCCACCCTATAAAAGTTAAAATATTTTTCTGGAATACATCCTGGAACATACTTTAGATTTGCACTTAAACAAAATTCCCAAGTATTTTATTCTAGGAGCTACACATGCCCGACGCAGGATATTACTCTTCTACAGCTATTATTACTCTTTTACTCAACAAACCGTACCTTTTATAGATACCAATCGTACTTACCTCCATACACCACTAAAGATCTCATCTGGAACGGAGTCCAAATTGAAAAAGTTGAAATAGACCGTCTCATCACGTACTTCGATGAGTTCTATTCCGATCTCAGCCAAGCCGTCTACTACAGTGAGGAAGAATTGAAGAACGAGAAGAACCACTTCTTCGTTCGCGCCAAGCAGTACCGTCTCAATCACAAACCTTTCACTTACAAAATCCACGTCCAATCTGCGTCTGATGCTAAAGCTGTTGTCAAGGTCTTTATTGGTCCTAAGTATGATGAATATGGAAGGTACATCAACATCAGTGAAAACAGGTATGTTATTTTCAATGGGCTTAAATGCTTCTTTCGATAAATATCAGTAAAATATAATTTTTAGCGCATGTTTTAGTGTTTATGATATCTTTTATGAGACTGATGTTAAAAATTATTATTTCTTCGTCTTATTTACTTTTAACACTTTTGGCAAAATATATAAGCACACAAGATTTTTTTGACTAAAAACTCTTTAAAAAAATATATTGGCAGCTCTTTTGATTGCCACTAAAAGAAATATGATGTGATACGTGTATGATTCCGACCCAGAAACACGATTATGAATTTTTTTCGCAATTATTTTTTAAAATTCGGAATTTTTGGGAAAATTTTTTTGAAAATAATTTTAGTTTTTAATTAAACAACATAATTCATTGATATGGCAACATAATTAGTAGATTAAATTTACAAGAAAGAAAACCTAGAAAAGATCCAGTGGTTCTCAAAATTTTAGCAAAAACATTTTTTTGGAAATTTTCAAAGTAAAATCACTCAGTTATTTTGGACTTATTTGAAAAATGGTAAAGAGAAAATATATTTTTTTATCGAAATATTATTTATCTTATTATATTATTATAATTATTGGCCACTAATCAATACCGTAAATAAATAGCATTTTTTTCTAATATATCTCAAATTTTTCTTTCTTTTTCAAAATGATTACAATTTTTTTAATCCTCTTTAATAATTAATAAAGTAATTCGTTTTTTAATGATTATATTCTCATCATTAATGAAGAATAAAAGCTGCTTTTTAGTTTTTCCAATAAAAATGGTTTTTAGTTTTTCTCAAGACTTCTCTAAGCTAACTAATTAAATTTTAATTAAGCTGGCAATAATCCGTTAATTTAGATTTTATATTAAATTATTTCCTTTTGCTAAAAGTAATAAAAGCTCTAGTTATATGAAAATATTTCCGGATTTTACTAAGATAATATTTCTATTATATCTACCTAGTTCAACAAAACCAGTTAACACTTGAATAGGCTTTTGTTAAATTGTCTACAAATTTTTGAATCTGTTGTAAAAAATTAATGCTTACTAAATTTATGGAAAGTTTTTGTGAATCACAGCCTATTTACAACCAGCCTGTCGACTTAACGATCATTTGCATGGAAATGTGTGTAAAGTCTTTCCAACTAGTCACTAGGTGATGCAGAATGTAGACTGTACAGATCTATTGTGTCCCCCTTTTTTAAACTCATCATACAGTCTCAGGGCTTTGACAAAAGCCAGTAGCTGAGACTGTTTTACAGAGGTTAGTTCTCCAACTCCGATATCAGTCGTACAAAAGTTCATGGCACGAATGGTTGTCGTCCCGGCGCACTCAGTGATAAGGTGTTCTGGTGTTTCCCCATTTTCCCTACAGAATCTGTATTAGTTGTGGTTTCTTAGCTTTAATCTACTGAGGTGTTCGTTGAGGAGACAGTGTGCTGTTAAAAATCCCGTGACAATCCGAACGTTGTTCTTACTTAAACCAAGGAATATTTTTTACTTTTCTCGGTCGTAAGTTCTATCAGTAGGTGATAGCCGATCAAGAAAGCACTTAAAAACGATATAAAAACTAATAATAACTAAATTTTTATTAAAAAAAACATATAAAACCGGTTATTAACATAACGCAAAAAGAAAACCCAATAAATAATGAAAATCTTTGTTTAATATTACGAAACAACCGGCAAAGAACAAGATCAAAGGGGAGATTTTATTATCAAATGCCAAATAAATTAAAATAACTTTGTATCTAGGTCGGAAGCAAGGGGAAGCCTTTGAGTTATATATGGTTATCCGCCCTTTTTCTTACACTCTCTTCTACCTTCCCATTGATTTATAGTTATACACTTAAACTTGATACCCTCTCGAAGATAATTTCTCTTGACAAAATATTTACATAGCTTCATATACATTTTTTACATAGCTTTATTATTATTACTTCGGCCTATTTCGCGAATAGTGTAGTGGCCGTTTATGTTGTTACTGAGAGACTCAAAACTTAAAGAATGCTTAAAAAATTAGATTATTAACTAACATGAACACATAAACGAATTATGTTTATTATCAGCATAATAAAAGTCAGTTAAACCTAACAATAATCTATACTAATATACAGGTTGTTAACTCGACAATTACTTATAGGGGAACATAATGGCAACACTGCCTATTGAGCACGCATGCATTATTGATTTTTCTGCGGACTCGTCCCGTCGCGTCGCTGTCGTCTATTAACGAGCGGGCCGATGTTGCCATATTTCAACCATAAAGCTCTTGCCGCGAGTAATGAACAAATTAACAACCTGTATAAAATCCTTAAGTGACTGACTCACTGATTAATCACGATCCTATTCAAACCACTCAACGTAAGAAGCTCAATTTTGGCATACAGGTTGGGTCTAGGGTGTAGAGGTTCGATAAGAAGGGATTTTTCGAAATTCCAGTTCCAAGGGGGTGAAACCACCCTTCAAACATTACAATATTGTTTATTTAAAAAACGGTCAAGTTTCCGAAAAAACGCTTAAACACGTATATTTTATTTTGTTTTTTTACATATTTTAAGATTTTTTAAAAATGCATACAGGGTGTTTCGAAAAATCTGGTCATTTATTAATCACGATCCTGCTTAAAACGCTTGACGTAAAAAGCTGATTTTTGGAAAACGGATTGACTTTAGGGTGTAGAGGTTCGATAAGAAGGGATTTTTCGAAACTCGAATTCTAAGAGGGTGAAACCACCCCTCAAATATTAGAATATTTTTTATTTAAAAACCGGTGAGTTTTTCGGAAAAACTCTTAAACACGTATATTTTATTTTGTTGTTTTACATATTTTAAGGTTTTTTAAAAAATTATACAGGGTGTTTCATAAAATATGACTATTGAGTAATCACGATTCTGTTTAAAACTGTTTGACGTTTAAAGCTGATTTTTGGCAGACGGATTGATTGTGGGGTGTAGAGGTTCGATAAGGAGGGGTTTCTCAAATCTCAAATTCCAAGAGGGTGAAAACGCCCCTCAAATATTACAATATTTGTTATTTAAAAAACGGTTAGTCTTTCGGGAAAACACTTGGACACGCATAATTTATTTTGTTTTGTATGTTAATGGAATTTTTTCTTTGCTTTATCATCACCATTACAAATGATTAACTCGACGCGAACGAAGTCGCGGGTACACGCTAGTGATTTATAAAAGAGATGTAAAAATTAAAGGGTTTTTTGTCTTTTTCAGATGGAACTTCTTTGAATTGGACCAATTCGTGTATGATCTGAAGAGCGGTGAAAATGTTATCAAGAGGAGTTCTTACGAAAGCAGACTGTTCGCTACAGAAAGGACAAGTTTCTACGACCTATACAAACAAGTTATCAGCGCTTCTGAAGGACAGGGTGAATTCAACGTGGACCCAAGACAAAATTACTTCAATTTCCCATACAGGTATGGTTTAATAATTTTAAGAAAATATACTCAAGAATCAATTTTGGTTTGTTATTTTTTTCTTATTCGACACTATCCAGATTGGTAAAAATATCTCTTTATATAAGGCATATTTTTAAGGATAATTTTTTTTATATCAAACAATCTATTATTATAAATCACACTGGCACAAAATTTTGAGGTTTTAACTACACCTTAAAATTTTCATGTATTTTAAAGTTTTATATTGTGTTTTAGTGGACCGATTTTGATGATTTTTTAAGAGCTTTGTAGCTAAATTATTTGACTTTTAATGTATCTTTCTAAATTAAAACTCAAGTTGCCATCTGACAATTATACGATGGAAAAGAAAATATTGATATTGTAGAAAGTTTGAAACATCCTGTGGAGTATATTAAAAAAGCAAAGAATTTAAAAATCATTGTATCATCTAGGTGTATCTTTTCTCGATAGTTTGTTTTTTGGTTTATCTCAATAGATTTCATTTTTTAGAGATATTCGCTTTTGAAGAAGGCACTAATAATATTTTTTCGTATTTTTTACATTAAAACCATACGTTTGCTTTTCCTAGTCAATACACCAATAAAATAGTGTTTATGATATATCTAATATCCGTCTTGGAAAAATCATATTATTATTGTCTGTTGGGCTCTAACAGAGATATTTTTAAGTCCAAAAGGCAACAGCCTAGCTACGTGGAAACACCGGTTCCATTGGAACAACGAAGTTAAGCGACGTAAGGCGATACTAGTGGATGGACGGGTAACCGGTTTGAAACTCTGTATCGTGCTGTTGTCCAAAAAAAGGCAAAAGTGTAAAATCTGTTGACACACACTGCTCATTTACGCCGGTTCGAGGCCGGATGAGATCGGATATCTCGTGAGTAAGATTTAGTACACTTGCCAAGTTGGTAGGCCATTGACTATGATATTATCGAGGACCGCGGTTCGGATTCTGCGTAAACAAAGTAGGCCCCGTCCAGAATAAAGCTATTGGGATGAATAAAAAACAAACTATCGAGAAAAGACATACCTAGATGATAAAATAATTTTTAAATTCCTTGCTTTGTTAATATATTTCACAGGGTGTTTCAAATTTTCTCCAAAATATCAACATTTTATTTTCTCTCGTATCATTGACAAATGGAAACTTTCATTTTTAATTTAGGAAGAGATACTAAAAAGGCACATAATTTAGCTACAAATTGCTTAAAAAATCGTCAAAATCGGCTCAATAGAACAAAATATATAAAACTGTTTTATATATTAGCCCAATTTTTCAATATTATTTTAAAATTTTACAATATCTATTAATATTATAAATTCTTTTTCCAGATACATGTTACCTAAAGGTAGCACTGGCGGGTATCCATTCCAGTTCTACTTCATCGTCTACCCATACAAACCATACACCGGTAACAAGCCCGAGGAATGGACTTACCACTACCCAAGACCAGGAGTTGGAGGGCCATACATCGACGATTATCCACTCTATTATCCATTCGATCGCGAGATAAAGTATGGAAAGACGTTCTTCGAGGATATTCCTAACAGTTTCTTCTACGAAACGAGGATCTATCACAAGAAGGACGTAAATTCCGTCACTCCTGAGCATTAAGATGTTCGGGAATGCGATATTTTTCAAGACTGTGTTTTTATATTATATTATTATATATAATAAATAAGCTGTATTAGAATTAGATATAGGAAGAATTTACTTTTTGTTCTTTCATTTAATCTGATTGTATCTTTTAGTGTTTTTACCAAATACAAATATTTCGCATTTTTATAAAAGTTTCTTATTTACCATATAACATACATACCTGTTAGGTACAAAAGTTTTATTAAATTGCAACCCCCATTTTCTGTACAGAATAAATTCAGCATAAAATCCTGCATATATACAGTATTTATTTTAAACACTATGCGGTGTTGTCATGCCATTTCTTATTTATTAAAACTTTTGTTAAAAACAGTATATCCGAAAAATGGTTAAAACCTGGAAATTTATATTTATTAAAACTTAGCTACACGTTCCTAAACATCAAGGATAAGAAAACAAATATGTGAAGGAAAACTCACATTATCTTACACAGGGTATCTGTAACGGCGTGAGCAACATTGCAATATTTAAAATACTTTATCTTATTTTTTTAAATGTACCCTGCATATTCATTTTCTTTTAGATGCAGAATTATAATGCGAATAATAGATATTAAACGAATATTTAGATTTAAATTAAATATTTACCTACATAAAAAAGGTTTACAAAGAAAATCCTAAACTTAGGTCAGTTATCGTTAAAATGCAACAACAGATATCGTAATTATAATTGTTTATTTTATTTAATATATTGTATATACTTTTGAAAAATATTTGATAACTTTTATTGACTAGTTTATAAATTCATATTGATTTATTTGGTTATTAAAATAAATAATAATAAAGAAAAAATATATTAGTAAAAGAAAAGGTGATAGCACCAAAATAATACTGATTTACTTATCAGTTATATGTGAAAGTTCATATTTCTTAGTTGAATTTCTCATGCAACAAATTTATCGAAAATAAAAATTGGTATATCTATATATATAAATCTGACTGTCCTGACTGATACTGACTCATCAACGCCCAGACCAAACCCTTGACCCTAGAAAGCTGAAATTTTGCACAGGGGTTCCTTTTATGATGTTTACGTGAGATAAGAAAGGATTTTTTAAAATTCATCCCCTAAGGGGGTAAAAAGGGGGGTGGAATATTACATAAATAGTAAACTATTAATAATAAAAATAATAATTATACACAATGACTGTTTTAGCTTCAAAGTTTTTGAATAATTAAGCAAATCAATTGTTATTGGCGAAATAGATACAATAAAAAAAGACAAGGTCGATACTTTATACTCGATTATAAATGATAATGTATACAGGTTGTTAATTTGTTTATTACTCGCGGCAAGAGCTTTATGGTTGAAATGTGGCAACCTCGGCCCGCTCGTCGATGCTACTGCCGACAGTGCCGACGTGACGCGACGGGACGAGTCGGCAGAAAACCCTATAAGTGCATGCGTTCTCAATAGGCAGTGTTGCCCTTCTGTTCCCCTATAAGTAACTGGTCCAGCGGCGTCAAATTTGTTTGGACATTTTCCATGTAAGTCTTCATTTCCGAGCCAAATTTGACCCTTCTGATCGTATGGTAATCCTAAACTTTTTAAAAAAAATCTTAGATAATGGTTTAATGAAGTGTTTATTTTTTTTAATTTTTCTTCCAGCGTACGTAAAGACTTAAAAACATTTAAAAAATATTCCTGAGGGATGACTTAAGGAAGGGCGACATTCCTTCGGGGTATTGTTGAAGCAAAAAGGTCAACGGCGACGAGTGGGAAGAAAAGCCCTGGGATCGCGCGAATCGCAGTAAAACAAAAAGAAAAGTTTGGAGGGGTGCGCGAGTATAAATAAGGTTAGGATAAGGTTACCCGGAATTAAATATAGAACAGGGGAAAAGATTCCTGAATAAATCTAAGATTTCGATTGTTTGTGTTTGATATTAAGCGAGTTCAGTGTAAATTTTGTAGGCAAACTGAGCAAAATTTTTCACCGGAAATGACGAAGTGAATTTATCGTAATAGTCCAGTAAATTAAGGTTTTGTACCTTTTGGGGAGTAGATTTAAGGGAAAAATTGTAACACCGTGACGGCCGGACTTTGGCGGCCGAACTTTGGCCGAAAAATGGCCCCAAATGGCCGAAAAATCAGTTTTTCGCAAATATCTGCCAAAATATACAATTTACAAAAATTCTCTTGGAAGAAGAAATTAAGCTTAGGTTAATTACCTATAAAAATGCTCCTTATGATTTTTTTCGCAATATTAGTAGTTTTCAAGATATTCCGTCTCGAAGATCCTGAATTTTTTCTCCAAGTCAACGCTCCGGAGATATACCGGGTGTTGCATCGTCGGACGGGACATAGGAAATCCCATGTAAATTTTAATGGGGTCAATTATTGACTTCCCTAATTATTTTAGAGAATAATTCTATTTAGGTTTATTGAAGAACACTAAAACCCACATTCAAAAGAATAACTTTAGATATTTTTGATTAGCTCGTTTACGAGTTATCGCCGATTTCTTTTTAAATATTTCTCCTTTCTTATGGCCCTGTATTTACTTACCAGTACCAGTCAAGGTAAAAGATAACTGTCAAATGAAGTTGTCATTTCAGAAATTTACCTATTTAGTGCTTTATTATTATTGAAAACTCATTCCTACATCGGAAATCTTAAAGATGTATTTATAAATACAAATTAATATGAATTAAAGTAAAATAAAGTAATCAATTACAAGGTTAATTATAGCATTATTACAATATTCAATAACTTATTAATTTAAGTACTATTAAATTGTTACAACTTTAGGATTTAAGAAGATGTTCAAATATTCCTCCATCGACTGCTAGACAATAACCCAGGCGATCATAAAATTTTCTTCTTACATTCGCTAGTTGGTAAACTGAAATTCTATTGCATTCGGCAGAAATAGCATTTTTTAACTCGTCTAGATTTGGGTATTTTTTATCCTTGTATATCCTGTTTTTTAAATGGCCCCAGAGAAAGAAATCATTTGGCGAAATATCAGGAGACCTTGCTGGCCAATTTACTGTATGATTTAGGCCAATAACGTTTCCGTTAAACCTATTGTCTAAATTTTGTTTTTCGTATTTTTTGTAATTTCCGGAAAGTGTCGTAAACAAAAGAAAATTGCATAATAACTTTATAAATAACCAACATCAATGAGGATTTGGAAATCAATGATAAAAGTTCAAAATTACTTGCAATATCTTGTAACTTTTTCAGAGTATATTGTTCTTGTCCATTTGGTTTGAAATATCAGCATCCAAGGGATGTCCTACGCCTCTTGGTGGTCTAGGGGCTGTGGAACATGACTTGAAAATTGTGTATGACAATGCTTGTGATATCTGGCAAAAAATATTAATAAATTTGTAAAAATCGGAATTTTTTTGTGCCAAGGAATGTTTGCCCGTTTTTTTATTTTCAGAAAATATGACAAAATTCAAACAAGTTTCAAAATGTGATTGCTGTTGACTCTATCTTTTAAATGAACTTCGAATCAACAAAAAATATTAAATTTTAACCGATGATACGCTTATGAAATTTTCCTAGATTTATGCAAGAACAATCGTCGGATTGTCACGAGATTTTAACAGGACACTGTCTCCTCAATGATTACCTCAATAGATTGAAGCTAAGAAACAACGGCGAATGCAGATTCTGTAGGGAAGGTGGGAAAACACCAGAACACCTCATCACTGAGTGCGCCGAGACGACAACCATTCTAATGCGGGGCACTTAGAAATTTCCTATAGGGCGAATTGGGAACAAAATAACATAAAGCTGCGATTAGTCTTAATTGGTAGTTTTAAGGGTCCTGTTGAACATACTAAAAGTCCCCATGCCTCCCATAAGGGGAACATTGTCAAAATTGCGCCGCCATCTTGGATTTTTGGAATTTTTTCCTAAATTTGCCATTTATTCAAAAACTTTAAATTTTTAAAGAACTAGAAACCTTCGAGGTTTCTAGTTAGTGAGCACCAACATTTTTTTTAACCTGAAATAAGTAAATATTTTGCCGTTTATAAATATGCTAGTGACAAGATCGATGGATGAAAAATTTTGGACAATAGCTGTAAAAAATTTTGGTCAGCACTTTGGGCAGTACTGCAAGTATACTGTCGGGTGGTTTACATATTATTTCTGAGCAGTCGATTAGACAGTGGATAGCTGGGAAGTTTCTACTTAGGCAATACTTGTGCAGGACTTTGATGGTACTTAGGCAGACTAGGGCCGGAATTTGTGTACTATGTAGTGCTTGGGTAGTATAAAGCAGTACAGCGTCAGACAGTAGTGTCGTCGAGCGGTGTACTTTTGACTAGTTATATTATGTCGTGCAAATTTTGATTTATTAGCCCACCGTGTTTCTAATAAAGCATGCAAAATATTCCATTTTCGGAAAATCTTCCTGAAATGGACTATACATAGGTACCATCTAAAAGACGCCGGCTCTTAAAAAATCCATTCTCTTTATTCACGCTGCAGGTGGTTGCGACACAGTTAGTGGTTTATACAATATCGAAAAAATTACAGTTCTTCAACTTCTAGAGAAGAATCCAGAGCTAAGAAATACAGTTTCTATATTTTACCATGCAAATGCTGCTAAGGATGGTGTCTTGAAAGCTGGCGAGCGCTTTTTAGTATCTCTTTACGGAGAAACTTCAATATTTTCACTAGATGAATTAAGATTTAAAAAATACAATACTATAACCGCTAGACAAAATCTTAGCACAAACTTCAATTTGGCTGCTCTTCCTCCCACCACAGATGCCGCAAAATTCCATATCTTTAAAATTGATAACCAAATACAAGAATGGTTAGGCTACTCTCCTGATCCATTAGAGTGGGGATGGTAGGATGCAAATAATGGGCTTTATCATGAGCTGCAAATAATGAGCTTTATTTTTTATGAGCTATATTATATTTTAATGGAGCAAGAAGTAGCTCCCGAATTTATTTTAAAGATGATTTTTTGTAACTGCAAAACCTCAT